TGCTGAGCAACCTGTGCGAGGCTCAATCACGGTTTTGGTTATTTGGATCAGAGCCCTTCCGATTGGAAATTATCACTTCAGGGCTATGGAACGAAAAACGATGGATAACGGTGCGGCAAGACTATAACCGCCGAATCGGGTTCCCTTCTCCAGGGAGCCTCTCGACTTACTCGTGACTGACGCATGCAGGCTGCCGTGAACAAGCGGGGCATCGTGAGGTTTCAGAATAACGCAGGAAGGAGAATAACAGGGCAGGATATCGGACGGTCGGATCAATCTTGTTTTTTTATTTGAGTCCTTTCGATCACAAATTATCATTTAAAGGCCATGTGATGAAGGAAATGACAAACGGCTGGGCAGGCTTGTATGTGCCTGGGGGTCAACCGCTGAACTTTAGCACGCGCCCGGGTGGCCGGTAAGACACCCTTTGCTCGGGTGGAGGTTAATTTGACCCCCTGAGTTTTCGGGAATTAATAGAGCTAGAGACACCAAATTTACAGGGTGTATTGATATGTACGTGAACTTACTTAGGTCAAATTTTAGATTCCTAGGTCATGGCCTTCGGGTCAAATAAGGCCAAAAACGTCAAATTCCAGGATGGTCTCCAAAGTGCCCACCGAACCTAGATAACTGTCTCTAAGCAAAAGGTCACATGCTTAGCTCAGATCAGTGGCCTTGATTGATCTTTTGAAGGTCATGATGACCAAAATCATAGAAGACTGCTCTGGGTTTTGCATTTGAATAACCGACAAAGATTACGCCAGACGGTATGTACCTGAAGAAATGCTGACCTGGGTCATGTCAGGTCAATGACCTATTCTGACCTCTAAGAAGTTCATAAAAGATGCATGATGCGGTTTCTGCTATCAATAAATTCGAAATGAGAACCAGAAACTATCTCATACAGCAAGCCCTACAGTGATATAGCAGGTTGGTTTTGACTTTGGTCTGACCTTTATACCGGCCCTTGGATCAACGTAATTTGCTCATTCAATATCTGTGTTGCCTAAGAAAGCGTCTCAGAGATGTATGGGTTTGTCCAACACTCCGTTCTGCATCAGTTAAACGATTTCCTAGAAATTGACTTCCCTGAAACCATGGCCTGACTTTGACCGGCCATGGGTCAGCGACCTTACAAGGTACATCCAAATGTTTGATGCAAAACGATCCGCTATTCAATTGTCTACAACTATGCAAATTCAGCGCGGCGCAGCCGCACCGTTCGGAAACCAATCTGGAAAAACTTCTGGGGAGGATCAATTTGACCCCCCTACACGAGCGCGTGTTAACCCACGCATGTGCGCTGGATACCCGGTGGGGGTACGCCTTCCCACGGGGCCCTCGGCCCACTCATGGCTGACGCATGTAGCCTGCTCGGATGGGCGGGATGTCGTGAGGATGCGGAATGAAGTAGGATAGAAGAGAAGAGGGACGAATGAGGATCAATCACGAATCAGTTTTTATGCTACATGATGGGAGTTGGACATGGTTCCTAGTTATGACGAAAAAACAACTTGTAATCAAATAACTGAAGAACAGCGCCATAACCGAGCATGTGAATGCAAGTAAGCATCTTGAACAGACGTTTAGATATGCAAGAACACCACGAGAAATGGTCAAAATAGGGCAAATAACAATATTTGGCTCAGTAAACACTTCCGCCACTGTACTGTCATTTCTCCGCGAGTTTGAAGTGCTACAAGTGAATCCTATGGTGGCAATTTTGCACGGCTAGTTAAGTAGCACCTCAACATCATACAAACGTATCATGATGCAATCAAACGATGACGTATTGAGGAGCGCATTTACTCAGTAAATGTGCTTCTCAAGTCGAGAAATTGTGTTGTTTAGGTCAGTCTTTTTTACTTAAAAGCGTATCACTAGTCATAAGTGAGCTGATCTCATCATATCTGAAGCTTCAATATCTTCACATGTGGAAGATTCTCTTTAAGTGCAAATTTAAATCATTGTTAAAAACAGGTAAGTATAGTAGTTAGGCAACGCCAATGCCGCTCTGGGGTACGCTCTGATGGATACGCCAAACATCATCTTAATTCGACAACAAGTGGTTAAGCTATCAAGCTGACTAGTGTATTTAGCACCAAAATTATGTTCAGACAAATGTTTGAGTGTCCGCAAACAACGGCAGGTAATGGGATTCATGACAAAGCCAAGTGTGTTCTTAAACGGTTGGTATCACGTTGGCATTGATAATCATCATTAGTATTACAGTGACACGATTACATATGAAAGAGATGGTTGACTTTTGTTGACATGACACCCGGTGATTGGAAGGACAATTGGCGTAGCGTCTCAAGGAGTAGCGCTTCACCAAAATATGGAACGTGCGCGACTTACATGGAGCTCCTGTTAATGTTCTAGGTGACTATCACAAATCGTTGGATGGGAGTCGTTTTATTGTGGCGCATTTGTATTTGTTTTCAGGAGTTTATTAACTTCCGCTTTGGCGCCGAAAACCAATGAGACCGCGTCCGCAAATGAGGAATGAAGATTTGATGCTCGTAAGGCCGCTGCGCCTGGGAAGCAAGCGGGAATTACAAATAATGCATAGTCAGCCAATAAGCGTTAGAATATGCGCACCGTACACATATACAGCCATCAAAAGGGCCGATGATAGTGGTGATAGCAGTCACAAGACTGTGGACAATAAGCGACAAGACTGCTAACTATCTGCGAAGCATTCCATGTGAAGTCGAATCTTTTTGGTACGGCAAGTGGCAGCCCAGGTCCCGTCAACTTTTGGTACGGCCAGTGGCAGCCCAGGTCCCGTCAACCTTTGGTACGGCCAGTGGCAGCCCAGGTCCCGTCAACCCTTGGTACGGCCAGTGGCAGCCCAGGTCCCGTCAACCTGGACACTTGGCAATACCAAATATACAAAATACGGCGTTTCGCAGTGAAAACACCATTTTTTTGCACGCGGTTTGCACGGTGATGTCCTTGAGATCAGAATGATCGTAAATCATGTCTAGAAAGCAGAGTGCACACCAGGGAGGGGCGGCGTTATGTGTCCCCTCTTAATAAACTGAGATCGCAGGCGTGCTAAAAAAGCATAAAAAAGAACACCCGAGGGGCGCTTAATTGCACGTTGATAGTGATTGTTCAACAAAACAAAACACCAGGACGCCCCAAGAGAATGCAAAAAGGAGACATGAGACTGCTGACTCGGAAGGCCTTTCGATGTTGAACCCCCTCTTGGGCAACGCTGTTCGCGCACCCTCCTGCAAAGAATGATGTCAGGCACAGCCATGCACATGACATGGACATCCGTGAACTATCGAAATGTAACTTGACCTTTTTCAGACTACTGGCTGCGCTAATGTCACTTTTATAGCGACTAGGACCAGTAACTGGAAACTGCGAAAATGACCTCCCCATCTCCGTGTGCCGTAAAGTTCACTGCACAGTCTCACGAAATGATGAATTAGTTCACTGACCTGAAATGTCACGACACTAAATGTAATTTCGCAAAATGAGTAACAAATGGATATCAGTCATGCCAAATTTAACGGCTAGCTCATTTTCAGTTTGCACTCGGTTCTGAACCAGTAGACGTGGTGGCTGACAATCTCACAGCACCAGTCCCGGCCTGGCGAGAGTGACATATTGCCTCCACCACATGTCAAGGAACATGGCCTTTTAAGCAAAGATTTCGGCCACCCACCGCTGCCAAGTCATAACTAGCATAAGTAGCATCGTATAAACCGTCAATTGAGTTTTTGGCACTATTGTGGTGAGGAATGATACTGATGGTCTGCATTTTAGTTTGATATGTCAAAGCCAACTTCGCTTATGGTGCCAATATTCAATCTATATGCAATACCATAACCTTCACGTTACGGCGCGATAACGACCTGTTTTGGATAACTAATATTTGAAGAACATGTGAAAGACTTGTTCTGGATGACTTACGTTTGAGGAACATATGAAAGACTTGTTCTGAATGACTTATGTTTGAAGAACATATGGACTACCGATGCCCAGTCAAATGAGGTGACAAAAGTCTTGTAATGCAGTACGGTAATAATCATAGCACAAATGTTTCACAATGAAGAGAAAAATTGAGCAAACACGTTTGGCTGTACCAGGAACATTTTGCCACTACAGTCATAATTCATAGGCGATGGACGGGCAGCACAGAAGCTGCATGCAGCCAATATTAATTCAAAATGGTGGTCTTGCTTGTGCTGTGGAAGATCGCTGTCGCTTGCATGCAAGCACCGAAAAACAAGGCGAGTTTAAAGATGGAGCAATACAACGCGTCTGCAGCAACAACGGCACTAATTACCTATCAGTTACCTTCTCACCTACTGTGGGTATCAATAGGTGCGTAGATACTACTGTTTTAACTTACTTTCTGCGCTACATTTCTTGTATGGCACTTACCCAAGAAATTCGCTGAAATTGGTTGCACGAAGGACCTTCAAAATGATATTGATGTCGTGAACTACAGCGTAACATTACTACATGTGTGGGTGGTAAGGATCCCTTACAATAAAATGATTAGACAGATTTGACCTAGCTTGACCTCTAATGACTTTACGTCTCACCCTCAGACACAAGGAAAACTGACACCATTGACGTTAACATCAAATGATTCACAAAAAAACAAATAAGTGACATATGTCAGTGGTCCACATGGAAACTTTGCTCGCTATGGCGATTTGGCGAGAGACCAGACTGACATGATACTTTTCGCAATCGACGTAGCGACAATTCGAAAAGTGACACGAGATCAGGCGACAACGAAGTAAATCAAACAGAGCGCCTACTGTCATATTGAAAACATACCACTGTTTTGTTGTGCCTTTCCAATTGGTTAATTCGCCCGAAGACCTCCAGCAAGTAAATCGCCGTATTGTCGGAAGATAAAATTGCTGACGAGGGTCTTCTGCTTCCGCCGAACGAACCAACCGAACGGTCAGTGTTCGCTTGGGCATGCCTTTCGTGCTGTGACGCTTTGCGCGCTGGCTTGTCCGCAGCGCCTGGCGGTAAGCCGGTGGTGCTGGCCGCGCACAACACGAGCGCCAGCTCGGTGCGGCTACGCTGGAGGCCGCTGCTGCCTGCCCAGCTGCGCGGCGAGTTTCAGGCCTACCGCATCACCTACCGCGAGCGCAACGACACCGGCCGCCTGCGGGAGGCGCGCATCCGCGACGAGCGCACGCAGGTGAGAGAGAGAGAGAGAGAGAGAGAGAGAGAGAGAGAGAGAGAGAGAGAGAGAGAGAGAGAGAGAGAGAGAGAGAGAGAGAGAGAGAGAGAGAGAGAGAGAGAGAGAGAGAGAGAGAGAGAGAGAGAGAGAGAGAGAGAGAGAGAGAGAGAGAGAGAGAGAGAGAGAGAGAGAGAGAGAGAGAGAGAGAGAGAGAGAGAGAGAGAGAGAGAGAGCTGAGCTGAGAGCTGAGGGCTGAGGACTCCCTGAGAGAGAGCTGAGGGCTCCCTGCGTCAGCCATCGCGGCCGACAGAGTGGAGAGTGTCTCTGTGAGTGTGTGTAAGTGTGTGTCCCTGTGAGTGTCCCTGTGAGTGAGTGTCCCTGCTTCGTCCACTGCAGTTGCCAGAGAAACCAGCCTTCCTGCGCCACTCACTGCCGCCTACCAGGCAGTAAGGCAGTCACATCACAGCCCCAGCCAATGAAGCAATAGAGCTACAGTGCGTGCTTCGCGGAAGCACAGCTGCCATTCGGGGCACTGTTGGCCGGAGAAGCTTCTGTTGGTCATGGGCTACTACTTATTTTATGGATGGCCTTTAGGGGCTCTCCCAAGCTGCAGGCGTCAGGTTCTAAATGGTACGTTTCTCCATGTGCCTCGAATCATAAATTGTGGTGTCCCTCAGGGAAGTGACTTGCACAATATCAGGAGTTTTGATACGAGATGTATTTTTATCTGAATTCCGTGGGCGGTAGTCGCGGCGGTTGCATGTTCCTGTGTGCGGCGGCTGTATATTCCGCACTTACTGTCAAGAGCCGTGTCGATCTCACGGCAAACATCACGACCTGCACGACCTTTCATATAAGGCTATTCCCGGCCGCTGTGCGATGACACGCAAACTGCACTCACCATGGTAGACCACTCGGAGTGCTGAAGAAACGCTTCCCCCGGAACTGAAGGCAGTTCGCTACGAGGGCTGCATCGCACTGGCTCAAGATTCCGCCGTCAGTCCGCCGTCGGTCGTCTAGAGGCCGACGCCTCAGCATAAGGCCCAGCAGAGTCCGTTGCTGGCACCTTCCTCGATCTTTGCGGTAGTTTGACGGGACCCGGGAAAAGCTCTTGCCGGGCTGCGTCCCACGGGCCGGACGCTTGATAGCTTTTTGACGTTGACGGCTCGGCCGGGGTCGATGTGAGACTCACTGAGACATCAGTGCAGTCGCTGCGGCGCCGTCAGTACGGCTTCAGTTGGCTGGACGGCGTTCGTGGCGACACGCGGCCATCCACCGCCGATCCTCCCGCTGCGAGGACGTGGTGTCGCGCGCTGCAGCGTGACGCGCTGGAGCCTGCCGAGGCGCACGCCGCACGCGGTGCGCGAACACTGGAGGGACAGAGGTGGACGACCTTGCGACAGCTGAGGCGATTATATGCTATTGTTTTCTAGGTCCGTTGGCTACAAATTATCCAAGCGCTTTCTACCGAGCAGTCTACCGAATTTGTAAATGTTGTTGTCTCCTAATCCTATCGCAACTCATGGACAGTCTGCGCTGCAATCTCTAGGTCCTTCAGACAGATGAAACTCTCCGGGGCTTCCTAGACATGGAACTCTTCTTTAGCCTTAGAAGCTCAAGTTAGAATGTTGTCGCTGCTTGAAAGCCTTTCTCATTGGTGTCTGGATGACTGCGGCATGTCCAGCCTTCCAGCTCATGGAACTATTCTGCGAACATCTGGAAATTCTCGCCTGGATGTGGGTGCCTGGTCGCACGTGAGAAGACGAAACTGATTCATGGCAAACTCACCTGCATTGTCCCTTTTTCGTGTCCAAGGGTTGGACTCAGCCTCTCTTAGAGCTCTGCTAACCAGCAATCTCCAGAGGACCTGGAGACTGCGCTGGACGGTGAACTGGGACGTCCTTGCCTCCAGAGAGCGGATCCTGGGACAGGGGGAGGGGGAGTTCCTCCCGTCTTCCGTTGAACGGTGTGTCGTGCACGCGGAGCAGCAGGGCGGGCTCACACATAGCGGTCCAGAGGTACTGGTTTGATTACACGGGATTCAGTTTTGCTTCAGACTTTCCTATAGCAAAGTACTCTTTTTAGTCATATGTGTCGTGCTCTCCTTAAAAGGTGTAGCTCACCTTTTTGCATTTTTCACTTGTTGCATCACACGCGTATGATTTGATCAGTAATGTCAGTTCTCTCGTAATGCCTCTGAATAGCTCAGAAATTCGATATGAAGTATCCGACCCGGCGGAGGGATTTCATCTCGCTCCGTGCTCACCAACATACAAGTAATACACTTCATTTGTTTTGGTTTTTCCATTGTGTGTTCTGTAATCTTGCAACACGGTTATGTGTCAAACTGTTTGAGCAATAGCTGCTACGAAAGCCTGAAACACTCTGTTTAGGCAAAAAGGTGTGCGAACATGAAGCTATTGTCCCGCGAATTCAACGAAACGTTATACGATGGCTTTGATTTCTCCCCATGGCGTTTACCGCAGGGCTCTTTTCGAGGCGCACTTTGGGTTTGGGAATGGAAGCATTACACGATCCACGCGATGCAGCGGTTCAAGCCTCAACCAATATGTTCCTCGGTAACATGCTCTTGCCCGCTGGGTCAAGCATAAATATTCTTTCATTCGCACCAGTAAAGGTAAGTACAATGGCTCTCATGACGACGGTGGTGCAGGGAAAAGCGTAGTGCTGCTTCAAAGCGTTGACAGCGTAATTTGGACTAGAAAATAATTAAAACTGATATATCTAATGTGTCATGGCGGTGCTACAGTAGCACTACCCGGTGCTGTTGTTATGTGTTACTAGTCCTGAGGTTTCACTAGAATATATTTTGGCATGTGCCCTAAAGGAGAGACACTTCCCTTACACAAAATGGCAAGTGCTAATGTGTATTCGGATATTCCGAACGGAAACTTGCGGCAACGATCCGATCATTCCCAATATCGGGGTGTGCAAACGATAGGTGCCTGCTGCAGGGCTACTCGTCAGCAACAAAGCCTAGGTAGTTGACACACCTGACTGGCGATAGCCGTGTGGAAAGACAGGCATCATTTGCAATGGCAAAGTTTATGGCGCAGTCAGAGCGAAGCTACCGGGTCTAATGGCTCGCACACTTTACTTCGTGGCACCAGTTGGAAACCTGAATCAGCTGACACAGGATGACCCATTGATTTTCAGAAATTTGCCGGCACAGTCAATCAGCTTAACTTGTGCTGAATTCACTAGAAGTGTGATGGCTGTGGTCAATGGCAGACCTCGTTAAGTTACTGCGGCAGTGTGTTGGGACCAGGGACGTACGCACACAGCGGGCTCCGCGGGCGCGTGCCCCACCCTTATATCTTGTATATGCACTCATATTTGCGTGACTACATGTCAGCACCAAACGCTTCGGGGAGGACACGTAAAAAAGGGTGCATGAAGAACACGTGATGTCGTTTTACGTCAAGCAACACATTTTCACGCGTTTGTCGCGCTAGACTCCGCCCGCCCCTAGAACGCAGTTGGTTACAGTGCCTACAGCCCGATCCACCCACCCGTGGCGAGGTGAGCCTGAGTCGCTTTAGGCGCTCGCTCTTTGATCTTTACTAGGTTGTCTCGAGGCTGGTGGCGGCGGCCGCACTAAAGGCAAGGTCATATCAGAGGGCAGGACGGGCCATGCCGAGCATCGAGGCACGTTACAATTTCGCCATTAAATTCTGCTGTTGACCTGAAATTTGTCGCTCGAATGGGGGAGGGACAGGGAAGGAGTGTAGTCTCCTGTTCAGTTTGGGGCCTTCAGCCCTCCGCCCCTGAACTTGGCCTCCACTGCCCCACCAATTTCGAGAGGAAAGTGGAAGAATGCCATTTGTCGGCGTATTTGAAGGTGAGGTTGAGCCATTTTCATCGCTAAACACCACCAAATCATTTTTTGCGAAACGACGCCCTTGGTTCAGGGATCACGCAACAAGCAATGCTTAGCGCGAGCTCTGATCCCAGAAATATATCCATTCAAAAGGCTTGCGACTAAAAAAAGGCTCGTCGAGTTGAACTCCACCAATCGCGTATCCTACGTACGCCTCAGCCTGACACCACCAGACGTACTTCTCGACCTTGTCGGAAAGATCTAAGTCGAAGCTGCTATTCTGTCTCGAGGTAAATGCTCTTCGTAAGCTCGTCACTTTGTAAATGAAAACAAAGTTTTGTCATTCACTGTTTCGACGTCGATATAGGCAGATGCCGCTTCTACGGGCCAATATGTAAAGGGCCTTCGTCGGGTAATTGGGCATCTGCGTACCAGGCCATGAGCAAAATGGCCTCTCTGGCGGAGATCAAAGTCTTTCCATTCATAGCCTTCGGTGGAACGCCGTCCTCCCAATCAAATTGGAGGTATTTCCTACCAAACAGTTCTGTAAACAGCCATCATGAAAACTTGCCAGACCTTTGGGAGCGATTGGGCGGGGCTCCATATCGCGCCAATGCCATTGGCGCGACGAATGACAGTGCCGCGCCACTGTCATAATAGGGCCGTCGTGCGTGTTAACAGAATCAGGCACACAGTGTTCTGCTGTCCGTCTACGGGCCACGTCTAGAACGGCCCTGTTCGCCAACCCATCACTGGACTCACGACAAAACCTTGACACAGGTGGCCGGCTGGGGCCGAGAGCAAATAGCCGGTCGCACATTCACGCAAATGCCAGCGTGGCACGTACATGTGGGCCGAACGCGTGTTGAAAAATGCAGCTTCGCTCGCTCCATTTCATGTTTGCTGGATTATTCAAATCATGTCCGAGTCTTTCTATTTTCGCGCCTCTTGTTTTATTAGCTCTGGTGAGTTTTACGCGGTGGCATTATGTCCCCGGATTTCGCCTTTTGAATAATGCAAGCATGTCGGGCTCGGCTTCACTTTTCGCCGCCCTGGCATTCAGGTGGCGAGGGAGTGTTTCAAGGCACGGCAGGCGCCCCTCTGTCGCGGCTGTTTTCCATCGCACTACGGAAGTGGACGTCGCCTCTTTACATAATGTGCCGGGGAGCAAAGGCTTCTCACATTTTGTATCTTTCGCGTTGGTTTTTGGTTTTCTTTGGCGGCCCGTCCAGCTTGGTTGACATGCGGGCCGGCCGTTGTCAGGTCCCCGGCTACAATGCAGGCGGCATTGCCCTTTATGCGATGATAACGCAATGGTAATCACACAATGTAGCCATGCTCCCGTCGCTGAGCCGCAGGAGTCGGCGGATAATGGCCTTTTCATCACCTGGCATTGGCTATCACAAGCCTCACCTTATTGTATTGCTATGCTTGATCACGTGCGATCAGGTATGTTAAGTTCTAATTATCTTTGATTGATGGCATACGTTGGTAGCACGTAACAATAGTGTCAAAAGAAATCTCAAGCAGCTGGAAAGCTGCGACAAACAAAATATCGCTTCTTCCCGTATAAAGAAAAATACCATATTTCTTACTGCTGGCAATGGCAAAGCGATCAAGGTCAGAGCCAGGTAGCTAACGACAGAGCACGCCTGGACTCCTCATTCTCGGAGCTTGGCCTGCTTGGCCTCCCTCGAGTCAGGCGAAGCCAAGCACGGTGTTGTCAAACGCGGGACACGCAGCGCCTGCCAGCTCAGCGGAATAGGCGATGCAAAGGTTTGTGGAATCGATAACAGCTTTGGCCCGGATTTGAAGTCAAAACCAGTCTAATCATGAATGGTTGTTACAGCTCTTTAACTTTACAACGCCAGGCGCAGGAGTTCCGCTGTTGGTGATGTTGATACGCACCAGCGAACTCAATGGAAAACGTCAAGGAAAAGTGGTTAAGCCAGTACCTTTTCTAACATGTTAAGTGCCGGATCGCATGAAATGTTACATTGTGAATTCATTTTTTTCAAAGAATATGTATCCGAAGAAAAATTTAGCCTTAACCTGGCCCAAATTCAGCCTGTAACTCAACAATGTCTATAGCAACCATGAGTGGCAAAGTGTCTGCTGTTCAAACACGAAACCGTCCGCTCTCAAAAAACTTATATGGAGAACAAACCTAGGTTATTTCACGAAAATTTGGTCTGGCTGGTGTTGCTCCTGCCTTACAACATTTTTGGCTCGCATTGCAAATGAACATTCAGATCATAATTTCACATTGTCATGTTGAGAAAATGTCTGTTCAAATTGGTCTACCTCGCAACTATGCCATTTCCGTCAACTGTGCCTCTGAACATGCGCTCGGGTTGGTGGGTCAAGTTGACCCCCTTCCGAAGGTTTTTCCAGAATAGCTTCCGAACCGTGCGGCGTAGTCACGCCAAATTTTGCATAGCTGTAGACAATTGAATAGCATATCGTTTGGTGTCAATAATTTAGATGTACCTTGTACGGCCGCTAGTCTATGGCAGGTCAAAGTCAGGCCATGGTTTCGGCAAAGTCAATTCTAGGGAATCGTTCAATCGGATGCAACAACTGAGTATTAGACAAAGCCATCCATCTCTGAGATACTTTTTTAGACAGTACACATATTGAATGAGCAAATGGCACTGACCTAAGGTCAGGTATAAAGGTCAAACCAAGGTCAAAACACATGTGTTTTTATAACTCTAAAGCTCGCTGTATCGGACAGTTTCTAGTCCTCATTTCGAATTTACTGATAACAGGAACCGCATTATATATTTTCCAATGACTTGTCAAAGGTTATCTCAGGTCACTGACCTAAAATGACCCAGGTAGAAATTTTATTTTAGGAACATGCTGTCTAGTGTAATCTTTGTTGCTTATTCAAATGCAAAACTCAGAGCAGTCTTGTATGATTTTTGTCACCATTACCTTCAAAAGATCAAACAAGGTCACTGACCTTACATGAGCATGTGACCTTTTGCTTAGAAACAGTTATCCAGGTTCTCGGGACACTTTGGAGACCACCCTGGAATATGACCTTGTTTGACCTTGTTTGATCCGAAGGTCATGACCTAAGAACCTCAAAACTTGACCTAAGTGAGGTCACGTACAGATCAACACACCCTGTGAATTTGGTGTCTCTAGTTTTCTCAGTTCTTGAGATCTTAGGGGGGTCAAATTGCTCCCCCACCCGAACGAATCAGACATCTCTCCAGGTGACGAGACGGTACCTCTATGGTGGCTTAGCCGGTTCTCTGCATTTAATGCTTCCAAATTTGGGAAAATGTAACGAAAATGAGAACGAGTCTGGACTACAAATGGAGATCCCGACGAAAAAATGGTGCCCATATTTTGAAGTAACATTGTTTGCTTCTTACATGCATTTTGACCTAATTTCCAGCATGCACCACGCTTCACCTGCTCTTGCATGTGTCTCAGTTTGCTGCAGTGCGACGGTCTGGGATTCTAAGAAACCGTTGAGCAACGTAACAGGCAGGATAATACGGTCGACATTCCGCCACGGCGCGGGAACGCATGTAATGAGGGGATAATTTTCAGCTAACGAGGCAGCGGTTCTGAGTGAGAGCTGTGTGCATTTCGCTCTAGCGACGAAATGAACCAATTGGAGCCGTGCCCCGCTCGGTACGGGGCATCTGATGAGCCTCATCGCGATATAGCGTCCCCGCACGACTTCTGGGGTCAGCTGATGGCTGCGTGCTCACCGGAATGCTGAACAGCGGCGAGAGCGTGTGCTGGTGCGCTGCGCCGGGGGGCGGCCGGTGACGTCTGCTTGGCGGTTTCAGAGTCACACGATCACCGGCCTGCGGCCGTTCACGCAGTACCTGGTGTCGCTTCAAGTGGAGAACCCGGCCGGGCTTGGGCCCACCACCACCGTCGTCGTCACCACGGCTGAGGGAGGTACGACACTGAGAGTGTGTTGTCTTGTACGTGCACTCCCCCCAACACAAGTACTGTTCTCTTCCCGGTGTTCCTAAAAACGAAAACTCGATATGAGGAAGCTGAGCGCATGGTCATGGTTGATCATGAGCACAGATCCGAGACATCGCGTTTTACCACTAAAACCAATGCTTGCCTACTGACGTCGTTTAAGCAGTACCTCCTGTTAAGACAGTAGTAGCCTTATTCCTTGGAGAAAATACAGGAGAATGGATATATTGTTGAGTTGCTGTTTCAGCAGCATACCTTTATTGAAACAAGAGCAGAAGACCTAACCTTTTTAACTGAAAGCTGCATGGTTCTGCAGTGAATAATCACAAGAGTACAGTCATCGAAAGTGCGGGAGAACAGTTCTCTCCGTTTTCCTGTTTTTTTTTCCTGCGAGGAATAAGGTTATTACTACTGTCTTTTCTATGAGAATAACGTTCCTCGCTAATGCACTGAACATCTTACGGAAGTACCTCCGGTTATAATAAAGTTATACTTTTTCAGTGCAGGAACTCCTTAGTATAATCAAGTTTGATCATTTCCAGCACGACAAATCACAACCAATAATGCCGAAAACTAGGAGCTCAGTGTTTTATTTGCTTGTACCAAGTAGGTAAAGTCACGCTTGCTTGTGGTCCTTGTATGCCCTGAAAGTGGGGGCGGGAACCCAACACCAAAATATATGGGAGAATAAACTTGGTATTTATATATATATATATATATATATATATAAAATTTATGAAATACATAAATATACAACATATAACATGTAAAATATAACATAAAAAACAAAAACATAAAATAATTATATAAATATAAAGTATATGGGGAAAAACCCACCCTGATGCTCAAAGCACCCTGCACTTGTGCACCCTGACCTTACTGCTCCAATGCAGCTAGGCTATGAACAGCGTTCCTCGTTGCTAGCGGCACAGGAGACTGACATTGTGTTAGGTCAGTTAATTTAAACTTCCAGTGTCACCAGCCCAGCCCAGCCCGTCACGATCTGGGCTCTCGCACCTTCGAGGACTGTGCTCTTGTGATTACTCATCGCAGATCCATGCAGCTTTCAGTTAAAAGTTCCACCGTGAACTTTTAATCCACATGCGTGCAAACTGCATCATCGCGTTTGGTGCTTAAGAGTCAATGAAGAAAAAAGTAGACAATCTTGTTCGCAGGCATGGGCTTAAATATTTGCCTGCGTACCTGGATGCGAAAAACATGTTCGCGCCGGTGGCAATCACACCAGTAGATACTGATCTCAACAAATGAGGCTAAGAAAATGAAGGAAATATTGAGGTCCCTCCTAATGATACAGGTTTTTACAGCTATCTTGTTCCGTTTAGTGCAATATCCGGCACTGAAGTAAAAGTGGGTTCAAGCTGAGGTGCACTGAGTGCTTTCCCCACAACCTTTAACAAGCATGACTTGGTTTTGCCGTAAACATAACGAAGTAACTATTGCTGTACTCAATTTTAAAGGCGTGCAGATTTCGTCTCTAAAAACCTATCTCTCCCCTCACAGATGGCGCAACACCTTTTAAATTATTTCTTTTAAAATGCAACCAAAGAACCGAAAGACGAGTTCCCCCCCCCCCCCCCCCCCCCCCTGTTGTGGGCTGTTTAAAGACGTGTCTACTCGAGCGCAGCCCTGAGCCGGTTAGGCTTGGACGTTTTTAAGCCAGTTGGCGTCGTATATCGGCTTCCCAGATGAGGAGTGTAAATTGAATGGTGCAGATGCATGCACCGTATCTAAATTGCCCAGACAGCTTAACACTGTCCGATCGAAAGATTCGGCACAAATTGGCTGGTAAGAGGGTAATCGCCCTCTCAAAGACGTGTTTGTCATAGCTCTCTTTTCCAGGCACATTTACAGTCACAACTATATGGACTTTCAGACCAAGCTGTTGTGGTCACTGCCCACTCCCCATGTGTGAATTTTGCCGACACTTAATTTTGTCGTCATGTCGATGACATTAAATGCAAGTTGTCCATTTTGTCGGGTGTAAATGCTACGCATGCTGACGTATAAATTTGTAGCAGCATTCTTAACGAATTAAAGCTTTAACGGTATGCCAGTCAATCTGTTTGCCCGCTGAACATATCAACTGTGGACACTAACCGGTGACACTCATATTAACTATGGACACTACCGGTGACGCCCATGCGCACGCAGCCAAAGGTCGTCTCGCCTCGTTTGCTGGTATATACTCGCACGATTTAAAGCCGAAAGCATTGCCGTCAGGTTCGTTTAATTGGTATTTAAGGAGAAAAAATGATCGTGCGGCGTTGGGCGAGCGAGTTAATGAAAGGTGCGGGTAGAAAACTTATAAAAACCTCACCTCACATAGATGGTATCAAACATGGGCGAATGGGCCCAGTCCCCTGCTGAAAGCCACACAGCAGACGGCACTCTTGGTGCTGGCTGTAACACTTCCTTCTGCACGGCGTTTGAATGTGACTGAAGAACGTAAAACGCATCAAAACGCACGTCAGGTACTATCTCCAATGTTCTTAGCATCGCTTCATCTTAATGCCATTTATGGTTGTTCAACTCCTGAGGGAACGTTAAGTTCTAGACGGACTTCCTAACGATTTGGCACCAATATCGGTTCTTAATGCGCGCAGTAATCTACAGCTAAAGCATTACCATGCTCTCTGCTAACTTCCTGTCCTGCGTCTGCCTAACTTAAATCTGGATCATTTTTGCCCCAGGGAACGCACCTACACTCTAGCTATGCTTTCAAAAGTGTGATGGAGATAATGACCCTGGAGTTCGCTCCGCGGAACCTGTCGTTCTCAGGCTACCAGTTAGTTCATAATATCCTTGAGGACTTCCACGCTCGTGGACGACACAACTCGGCAACCTGACAATCTAAATGCAGGCGTGCCACATTTACGGAACAGTGAATGTTCACGCATGGCACGCACATAACGCATAACTGCTAGATCATAACTTAACACGAGTCTAAGTGGTCGGTTGAATACCCCTTGTTCAGGTACGGGTCAATTTGACCCCTGAGTTCTCAGAAACTAGGATGACTAGAAACACCAAATTCGCCGTGTAAATTTGTTTGCATGTGGAAGCATTTATGAAATTTTGTTCGATATATTGGTCATGACCTTGGGGTCAAATAACGTCAAACAAGGCCAAACTCCAGATTGGTGTCCAAAGTAGCCCAGGTGTTCTCACGCAATAGCAGAAAGCCTAAATATTTGTTTTAAGCAGAGACCAGTGGTGTTCATTTAAGGTCAGTGTCCTCGTTTTATCTTAAACAGGTCAAGGTGACCAAAGACTATGATATTGCCCTTGTTTTCCCACTCAAATAAGCGTCAGAGATTTCGATAGGTGATGTGCTCCTAAAACCTAGATGCTGGTATGATTCATTTTAGGTTAGGAACGTTATCGGACCTTTATAAGGTCCACGGAACACTTCTGTTGCGGTCCCTGTCGTAAATCAATTCGAAATAGGTGCCAAAAACTACCCCATATTACAACTCTCCAGCGAAAACAGGTTAGTTTTGACCTCGGGTTGACCTTCATACCTGACCCTGAGTCAATCACCAATTAGGACCCCTGAACGATTGGGAGCATCCCGGCAGGCTAACATATAGGGTCCGGCCGGAGCGCAGAACCCCCTGAACAAAGGGCAACAACCGAAGATCAGTGTACATGAATGAACTCCCCTTTGTGATCAAGAGTGCCCGGGCAGGTAAACAAAGAGAGCTCTGACAAGTGAAGCGAGGTGAATGGTCCTCAGCAAATAAGCTCAAAAAGGGAAAGAGCCATAGGTCAATGAAGAGGGACCTCGAGCATGGAATGCCTCGGAGCGTTACCTTATATGGGGCGCAGCAACAGCGCGAGGTCCTCCAAGCGAGTGGAAAAATCCCGATGCCAATATGAAGGGCCCCTGAGCAACCGAGTGTGCTTCAGCATTTGGGGCCCAGACAGCAGCGGCGTGGTGGGAGAGCCCGCTTACCCCGAGGCCGCAGCGGTCCCTGCCGAGCCCGCGCCACCCGCCATGTCTCTGGCCACGCCGCCGCGCGGCGCGTCTGCGCCCAGTCCGCCGGTGAGCCCCGAGGCACGGCTGCGCGCAGGCCGAACACGGCCGCCAGGCGTCTAGGTAATTTATAGCAGCCATGCTAGACTGTACGCATCGCGTGATGATCAGTGGAATGTCAGGTTGGCTGTGCCATCTGTTGAAAAAAGGGAGAAAGAGCTGCAAGACTCAAAGATGCTTCTGAAGTGTTATCTAGCGGCAGGAATCCAAACTAGCCTGGTTGCCATGGATACTGGACGTTTTGAACACTGGACTTTACGACTCTGGACTTTGCAACTCTGGACGTTGCGTCCCTGGACCTCATGAACGGCCCCAATGGGCACGGAATTGGACGTTTTCTGGACTTTATGAACACTGGACGCTGTGATCCTGAACGTTTTGATGGCTCCCCCATCCTCCACCTCACCCCTCTCTCCTCGTGGGCCGTGTTGTCACATTATGTCCAAGGGAGATGGAAGCTCGCCCACGTTGCGGTGCCCAGGCTCGGCCACCTCCCCGTCAAGCCGCCTGCAGATCATTAGCCTGGGCAAAGATGGTGGCAGACAAGGCCCTCAACACGGTCACTCTGCCTCACGGGACTCCGGAACATTGGCGATACGTTTGTCATGAACGCGGTGTTGCAATGTCTGAGCAACTCCCGCGCCCTGCATGACTACATTCTACAAGACGAGTGCTCGAGAGAGATCAACACAGCCATCTCCACCATGAAGGGTGCTCTCATCAGATAATTTGCCACGCTAATGCGAGACCCATGGAAGAGCCGGGATGAGGCTGACCGTGCGCTGACCGCCTCCCGTTGACAGTTCAATTTCATCGCTTTGCGGCCCGATTTACGGCCTTTCAGCAGCAGGACACACAAGAAATCTTGAAATGCTTCTGCTGGAGGGCTTGCACGAAGTCGTGAATTGTGTCGACAAGCCAGCCCGAGCACAAACCCACCCATATCGATGACAGCCTCAGTGCTAGCCAGAAACCGCGGGAGGCCTCAAAGCGTTTTCCGTTTTTGAAAAACCCGAAGTTCTTTGACATACTTGTCGGACAGCCCAGGTCCACGCTGCGGTGCACGGTGTGCGGTCAGGCGTCCGTGACGTTTGACCCTTTCTGGAACCTGAGCCTGGCAGGCTCAGGTTGACTGGCCATGACTGGCCAGGCCATGTCATGACTGGCCACGCCATGACTGGCCAGGTGTACTCGCACGACTGCTTTGATCCTTTTACGAAAGAGGAGGTGCTTGAAGGAGAAGAAAAGCTGGCGGACTCCATTCGCCAGAAGTGGCAAAAGTGTTTCAAAAACTTCAAGATTCAGAAGTACCCACACATTCTTGTATTGCACCTGAAACGATTCTTGCTGCAGTTGGATCAGAACGAGCAAATTCGGAAATACCACTGAGAACTCTTCCGTCAGTGGCTTGGACCTGTCGCCATAATACGGTCTACCGTTCCGGGACACCAGATAAACGAGCTGTGCGATGTGACACACCATTCTGGCGTGGTGCACTCGGGTCACCACACGACCCGCTGAAACGCCCTTGTTTGGGAGTCTGGCAAGAGTATAACGACTTCAGACTCCAGCCCATCCGCATGGGTTGCACCAACAGCTGTGAAGCGAACATGCTTTTTTTTAGCTGGCCAGTCACTGACTTGGTGCCGAACAAACGCCAGTTACCTCTAGCTCCACTGGCTAAAAATTGTGATTGGATATGTACTAGAAATGCATCAAGTCGGGGTGAGATGGAGTGATAACTATATTTGGTCACTTGCGCCTAGTCAGCTCTGATCGAGTCAGTACTTCCCTGTTAAATTTTTCATAAAATTGGAGCTCAGCTCTTTGTTTTTCTCCCAGTTCCCACACCATTGCCTGTGCCCCAACTTTGTACATCTAAACCCGGCTGTATCGACATTCTGATCATTTAATGCATGTGACCTCTGTGCTGCCACTCCCTTATGGCAGCATCATGTAAAATAGCGCTTCTGTGACAAATGGCGGCTAGATATGACCTCGAGTGGGGGAATTCTATTGAGAGTTATCGGAATTTTCTGCTTGCTGCTGGTGTTATGCGTGGTTATGTGGTGTTGGGTTCTATCCCCCGGTTGTTGTAGATATTCACGTTGGTGATGTCTGGCGAAGTTATTTGGGCTGGATCGGCGAATACTCCGCTGGTCTGTGAATCTCCTGCTGCCTTTGTGCGGGGTTTTGTGTAGGCGGGATGTAACCCAAATGATTCACATTCCGTGATGTTCCGTACGCTCAAAGAACACCTCATGAAGACATTGGCTGCATCTACCATTTCATTTGTTTTGCTGAGTGCACTGGCGCCTCATGCTGAATGTGAGGTGGAAGCAGGTAATTGCTAAAGAATGTGACATTGAGGCTGTGTGTGAGAATTTGCTGTATTTGTGTGTGTGTGTGTGTGTGTGTGTGTGTGTGTGTGTGTGTGTGTGTGTGTGTGTGTGCATGTGCATGTGTGAGTGTGTGTTGAGGTAGGGATGGAGGGTGGTAGCATTTTTTTTTAGTATCCTGTGCAGTGCAGACATAGTGATAAAGGTTTTACTTAAAAGTCTAAATTAAATATTTGTAATATCAACCATATTTTGACATCCTGTATGATGTTAATGCAAATGTCATGAACATGATCCATCAGTCCTTGGGTAATATTCCAGGTATGGTCGTCATTTGCAAGGTTTGCTTAAGTCAGAAATATTTGCAATATTCTGATTTCTTTGAGCAAGTCAAATCCTGGCTGCTCAACTTGTGGTTTACGCATGATTCACCCCCACCAATTGGAAAATCAACAACTGCCCTGTAAACCAGCAGTAATTGTGCACAGTAGCAGTCATATTCTTGAGGTTCATATCTTGCAACATGTTGAATGGCAAACCTGGCATTTTAAAGCTCACTGAAATGTCCTCTCTTTCAATGCAGGTACTGATAATGCTGAAGTTATGAGATCAGCTTTGTGTAAGGTCTTGAGATCAGATGCTTCAGGTACCCTTCCATAAATTTAAGGCTATCTTGTTATTTCAGTTCCTGGAGCACCAAAGAACATTTCTGTCCTGAATGTGACAGATACAACAGCCATCATATCCTGGCAACCACCAGCCAACCCCAATGGAGTAATCATGGGCTACAGGTTTTACTCAACCACTGGCAATATCACCAATGTCAACTGGTGCAGATATCCCATGGAAAAACTACAATACACCCTGGAGAACCTAGGTAGGTGAATATTGTAACTGATATGACATGGTTGTTGAAGTATCAACCAAAACTTGATCCTGGCTTGTTTTCTATATTTCAATGTCAAGTTGTCAGTTTATAACACTTGCAGCTTGCACCTGTTGCAATGGTACAATACTGTGCTCAGCAAGAGTCTTTTAAATCTCTAAGAATGGATGTAGGAAGTGAGGTGTGAGACAATATGCTTCATGAGGTAGACAGTTGCCATATCCACTGATTCCAGAGCCCAACTCCAACTACTCAGTGACTGTGAATGCCTTCACCGAGAAGCATGAAGGCGTGAAGTCACCACCCACTCTGCTGACCACGGACGTGTCAGCACCATCAGCACCGCTGCTGACGGCCGTCACGTGCCAACCGGACGGCGCACTGCTTGTCGCCTGGCGTCGGCCCCTGCGATTCCAGCGGCTTGACCTCTACCTGCTGGAGCAGCGCTCTGAACATGAGCACCAGTTCAAGGAGCTGCAGGTCGCCACTGACCCTGGCCAGCTGGAGAGTATGGTGCGTCACAGCGGCAGAGGGTGGGGTCAGTGCTAAACAGGGGGGTCTTGGCTGCTGGGCTTCATTATATGCTCATACTGGCTGCTCTTAGCTTACCAGACATAGCGGTATCAACACATCAGTAAATCACTGGAATTTAGCCATTTGGATGGTACTAGGTACTTTGTGTTGCTGTCACTTGTGAATGCAAATTCAAGGTGGATTTTTTCCTGTTTCACAAGTTTGTCAAGCAATCTGTGCCTGCTATTGAGTTTCCTAATACTGTATTACCATATTCATGTATCAGTAACTTCCATATAGACCAGTCCATGTTCTTCACCATGTGCGCTCATGTGCCTCTTCCATGCGCTGACTGCCAGAAAGGCAGCAGCTGCGAAATTGAGCTGCCACTTCACCAGCCACTCTCCTGCACGCAGCTCCTGCTGACCAACCTGACGGTCGACTCGCTGTACGAGGTGCGCGTGCGGGCGGCGGCGCAGTCGCGGCTGCGGCCGGCCATGCTGCGCCGCTCGCCGTTTTCGGCGTCGCGCAAGGCGCTGTCGCGGCGGCGCTGTCCGGTGGCGGGCGCGGCCGCCAGCGAGGCCGGCCGCCGCGGCGTGGGGCTCATCGCCGGCTGCATCTGCGCCGGCCTGGCGCTGCTGCTGGCGCTGCTGGCGCTGCTGCTCTGGAGGTCAGTCAGTTAGCGACAGGGCTGCTGCTTGGAAGGTCGGGTGCTGCTGGGCTCGGTGTTTGGGGGGGGGGGGGGGGCTGCTGCTGATCTTACTCAGGAGGGGAGGGTGAGATGACTCAGTCATGTTGCTGATGTGGTGGATGACTTATTGGCCTGCAGCTCAGAAGGTGAGTGATAGGACTGCTGAGCCTGCTGCTCAGGAGGTGAGTGATATGACTGCTGAGCCTGATGCTCAGAAGTTGAGTGATATGGCTGCTGAGCCTGCTGCTGATAAGGTGGGTGCTGGCTTCTGCCCCTGCTGCTGTGGAAAATAGTGGCTTTTGGTCTTCCTGCTCTAGAAGTAAGCATTGGGCAGAACCTCTCTGAATCACATTGATTTGCTCATTGTTTATGGATTTCAGGACGAGTGCGCAGGCGGTAGGTTTCCAATGCACAGGAATGGGACAGCATATACCTTTACCAGGCACAGTCCGCTTGGCCAGGTGCGACCAGATCGCATTTCGATCACTCTCACTCAAAGTAAAGATCATAGAGCAAAAAAGAGTCAAGTCGCACGGTGCGTTGTATGCATAAGCATGGTCTTCTACCAGTAATGGCAGACCAGCCCAGAGGTGCGGCGTTGGCGCGTTGTCTCGGCCGCGTGTGTGACGCTCGTCGGCCCCCTGCCCCGCAGGCGACACTTCAAGACGTCCTACTACTACCTGGAGGAGCCGTCGACCGTGCGCGCGCCGCTGGAGGCCGACCCGGACTGGATCCGGGACGGGCCGGCTGGCGCCGCGGCGCCCGTGCCCGCCGAGGAGTTCCCCCTGCACGTGGCCGCCTTGCACGCCGACTCCGACATAGGTGGGAGCTTTGGCCTCGCGCCGGCCCGACGTAGACTGGCGCTCAGGAGCACGCCCCTGCCTGGCGTAGTTACGCTCGCGCTGCGCGCGCCATCTCCGACCGGGGCGAGGACCCCGTGTGTGTGCCAGTTCGCTCACGTGGACGGCTATTTCTAGCCAATACCCAAAGATGGTCCTCACTACGTTTTGGCTTCGTTTTTCTGGAAAGAATTGATAACTCCGTATGTCCTCAACAACTGCGTTCATTAGGTGGTTTGTTTTGGCTTGTTAACAACAGGGATATCGGATCAGCCATTTCACGTTAAGATTTTGGTTGGGGTTTATTGACGGTCCAGCGCCCATGGCCTGCCAGGAAATATGTGCATGTCCAGAAGCTTTGCTACTGAGGAAGGTGTTTTTTTTCAATCAGACATTATGTTTGTTTTTGCAGTTAAGCACTTATATTCAGATATTGTAGAACAAGTTGTCAACAATGTCTGGTTCTTACTAACACAAGTTTCTAAGATGCGACTGTACTACTCTTCGAAAATGGTCGGAACTGTTGGCTGGAAACTTGATTCGCCCGAAAAAGCAAGACAGCAGCTGTCATATTGTTTCAGGCAGCATATGTGCAGCTTGCTTGTGTCAGTATTTGTCAGGTGCGGTGTGGTGTGTCAGTGTTTTTCAGGTGTGGTGTGGTATGTCAGTCAACCGTGCGCTTGTGAGCCTCATCAGGTGTAAATGTGATCAGTGGAGCGTGCAATTGCCCCTGGCAGAAATCGCTGAAAAGGAAACATTGTGATGTGTGACTCGCAGTTTGTCACTTAGCAGTTAGCGGGTGGCACAGTCAGCACTATTAGACACAGCTGCTCATGCCAGTGTGAGTCTTCTGCTGAGAAGTGGTCAAAGGCATGTTGTGAACAGATAATGGTTTGAACAAAGCGAGCACACACGGTCTGCATATGCTAATTTGCACATAGTTGACCACCTGCACGTACGATATTTATGGCGCCACAAGTGACTTTGTCGCCTCGCCCCAACACGTGTGAGTGCATGACAGAGGCCACTCTCCATACACCGCTCCATCTTGAAGCAGCGAGTAAGTGCGTTTCTGACGTGTGAGTGAGGTCATGCTGTGCGATCTGTCAGGGTTCTGCAAGGAGTATGACGAGATACTGGAGCACACCATGAAGCTTGGGCTGCCGTCGGCGACCTCTCAGGTCGAGGAGAACAAGCAGAAGAACCGGTACCAGAACATTGACGCTTGTGAGTGGGACGTCTCACGCGAACGTGACGTCACGCCAGGCACGCTTCGCGTTGTCAGTTCGGCTTACCTGTGCGCTGTGATGCATATACTTCGTCGTCGGCATTCTGGTCTTACGACGTACTCAGCTACTGAGGATTTGTGGCACGGCCTGCCTCTCATCCCGGCAGAAGGGGTGGACACCGTGATCAATCGAACCCCGTAACTCTGTTTTCCAGAGCCATAGTTCATGACCATTGTAATACTTTGCATTGTTGCACATTGCAACACAGTCATTGTTAATGTTGCTCTTATTTCCCCTTATGCGATGGCTGCTGTGTTCGTGGCGTCTTTTGTCCCACCTTCTCGTGGTAGTGGGCCATCGTTGTGAGCGATGAAATGTTTGGTTGCTTGCTCCCCCATGCAGCTGCCAAAGGCTGTTGTGCTGTCACCCATCAACGTCTGGACCTATTCTGTAGCCGCGCGGACCTCTGCACTGGCATATGGCATTGGTTTCATTATACAGAACGCCATCCGCTGCTGTGGCCAGTTGACCGTTGCTTGTTGCGCACGTGTGGAACGCCAGTAGTTCAGTGTGTCTGGCTTGTTGCAGACGACCACACACTGGTGCCGCTGCGGCCCGTTCCCGGCCAACGGCGAGGCGACTACATCAACGCCAACTACATCGACGGCTTCCTGGTCCGCAATCAGTACATCGGCGCCCAGGGCCCACTGCCCAACACATTCCACGCCTTCTGGCGGCTCATCTGGGAGCAGCGCGTGCACGTGGTGGTGATGATCACCAACCTAGTGGAGCGGAGCAGGGTCAGTTCGGCGGACAGCGGGCGGGGAAGGGGGGGGGGGGGCGGCTGTGGAGGTGGTGATGTCGGTCAGCTGCCACACCGACGCGTCGTTTGTCGGTGCCGTCGGTGTCATCCCGCGTGCCGCTCTACAGTGTGAGGTCCCAGGCGCTGCAGGGTGTTGGTGGTCGTAGTAATGCGAGCCTTGGCAACAGGCCGCCCGGCCTGTTGCCGCCGTCGGGGATCACCATCTGCTCATGTTCTGGCGGTACTCGTCCCGTTGCGTGACAGTTCGCGCTCTGCTCTTCCAGAAAAAGTGTGACATGTACTGGCCAAAGGAGGGCTCAGAAATGTACGGGCTCATCCAGGTGGAATTGATGGATGAGCGCGAGCTGGCGACGTACACGATACGAAAGTTTCTCATCAAACACACCAAGGTTCGTGTCTTCTGTGACAGTGCTCTGTCATAATTGCCACAGAAATAAATGTGTGTTAGTCAGTTGCATATCTATGTAAACTTGCATTCTCACTGACTGGTTACATATTGACTCTGTACCAGCCGAGCACTCCCTGGTCCCTTCCTTTTCAGTGCTTCTGTTTGTCTTTTAGTTGCATTGTACATTTTCAACAAGTTGAATCATGCCTGCTGGGACAACAGTGTAGCTTTTGAGAGAGTGTGCAGCCTTCCTCATTTCTTGTAAATATGCGTGGACCCTTCAGTAGCGCATGTCAATGCTTGATGTCTTTCGGACATTACATGAACCCTGGTTATGTGATGTCCGTGTCGTGCCAATGCCGCTTCCTGCACGCTGCTGAGTTTTCTGCTTGGCTCCTCAGTACAAAAAGAAGAAAGGCCGGTCGAGCGAGCGCGTCGTTTACCAGTACCACTACACCAACTGGCCCGACCACGGGGTGCCCGACCACCCGCTGCCCATCCTCAGCTTCGTCAGGAAGTCGGCGGCGGCCAACGGCGACGGCGCCGGACCAATCCTCGTGCACTGCAGGTGAGAGCTGAGGGTCAGGGGGCCGCGGGCTGGACTCGGAGCCCCACCCGTGTGTGGCGTGCTGCGACGAGGCTGATGTCCGGCCTGGTCCTGTGCGTGTGCCATGGGTCATGGCTGGGTGAAATCTTACAGACAAAAACGCAGCAACAGTGCTGTTGCAGTGAATGGTCACAGAAGAGGACAATATATGAGTAAGCACATAGTGTGTTAAGCACACAGCGTGTTAAGCGTCTCTTTGGGACGCTCCCGTCACGAGTTGATTGCCAAGGCTTTCTCAGTGGGTTGTGAGCTCTCGCATTGCCGACCAGAACACCATCACCACCATCGTGTTCCAGCGCCGGGGTCGGCCGCACTGGCACCTACATCGTGCTGGACGCCATGATGAACATGCTGCGCCAGCGCGGCGCTTGCAACGTGTTCGGCTTCCTGAAGCACATCCGCACGCAGCGTAACTTCCTGGTGCAGACGGAGGACCAGTACGTGTTCATCCATGACGCCCTGCTGGAGGCGCTCGACTCGGGCGAGACGGACGTGCGCGCCACCTGGCTGGCCGAGTACCTGCACCAGCTGCGCTCCGCCGACGTCGGCCTCTACCCGTGCCACACGCTGGACCGCCAGTATCAGGTCTGTGTGGTGCTGCCGGGGTGGGGCGGCTCGCCCGAGGTGTGCCGGTGTCCGTACCCACCCGGTGTTGGTTATGCGGCGATTTTTTTATTCCCAGCGCGACATGGCCCGACAGTCCCGCAACACTCGAGCCGGTGTTTCGTCAGCGTCCGATTTCTCACATGGTATATCGTCCACAGGCTGCCTCAGGCCTCGCACTCCGCCCCCAACTGACCTCTTGACATGGTGCCCTGTCCCCATCTGACCTCCGACATCGTACCCCGTTCCCAGCTGACCTCTGGCGTAGTCCATCCCCAGCCGATACTGACTCGCCCCCCCCCCCCCCCCCCCCGTCGTCAGTTGATCACTTCACACCAGCCGGACGAGTACGAGCTGCTGGCCGCGCTCGCGCCCTTCAACCAGACCAAGAACCGAAGCGCGCAGTTCGTTCCGCCGGAGAAGTGGCGCGTGCACCTGGCACCGCGGCCCGGCGTCGACGGCAGCGACTACGTGAACGCCACGGCTCTCATCGGTACGTGACCACCAGCGCCCCGCCCCTCTCGGGCAGTAGGAGGGGGAGGATGCGGGCCAGGCGTGCACCGCCTGCGCCGGATCACGGCGCGATATGCGCCAAATTGTGAAGGGATGGATTTTTGGTCGTAGCTCTCATTGCGCACATCTTCCTGAAGACCAGGACCCTGCCACCCAAGTGAGGCAATTCTCATTTCGCGGTGGATGTTTTGCATGTCCCCTTAAGTGAGATAGTTCCGCAGTCAGTGACGCCTGTGTCGCGTCATGCAACTTCACGACGGGGGCACGCTGGGGCCAGCCTAATGCCCACCTGGCCACCAGTCAGCTGACCGCCTGTGGCGAGCCAGATATCGAGATATGGTTATGGGCTCGAACACGCAGCCTGCCACCCTAACAGTGTGATCAGGGCTGATCGTCCCTCCACCAGCTGGGCTGTAAGGGATAATATTGACCAGTCACTGTGCGAACGATGAAGAGTATGTGGACGGAGCCACTTCGATGTCAGGGGTGTACGCATACGTTCATCAGGCTCGGTGACCGCGGCCGAGTGTCGACCTCAGGTCGTGACGCGGCCGCCGGCGCCGGCAGGTTACGAGCAGCTGCGCGAGTTCATCATCACGCAGCACCCGCTGCCGCACACCGTCGAGGACCTGTGGCGTATGGTGTGGGACCACAACGTGCAGACGGTCGTGGTGCTCTCCCCCAACGACTGAACAGGTGCGCCGGGGCGTTCCGGCTGGTGGTGCGGGAGTCACGTGCGGGCCGCGTGTGGCCCACACAGGGTGGGATGCGTTCTCCCTGCGCCCTCCTGACGACGTCAGATGACACGGTTTTGTTGAATGAAACCTCACCTGACAGTCGCATGCTGGACTTGCCGTACAGAGCAGGACCATGCCGAGCTGTGGATTCGTCGTGGAATGCGCCCCCAATCTGAATGGGCCGTAGCTGGCTCTGTGGTTCGGCTCGGTCTGTTGGCCGCAGCGCGGACCGGCGGCGAGCTCAGCGGCTGACGCGCTGGCCTTGGCGGCACAGGAGTACCCGCAGTTCTGGCCGACTGAGGACGACGACATCGACAGCGAGAGCTTCCGCGTGCGTCTGGTGGAGCTGCGGCCCGACACGCCGTGCTGGACTGCCGAGCTTCAGCTGCAGTCGACCCAGGACGACGACCAGGTGTCGGTGCGCCTGCTGGGCTGCGCCGGCTGGCCCCAGGTGCCGGGGTCAGCACGCCAGCTCGTCGACCTGGTGCAGCAGGCCACCCTCAGCAGCCGGGACAGCCCGCTCCTGGTGGTCGACAGGTCGGTCCTGGGAGGGAAGCGGGGTATCGGCGGGGACGGCCTGGCCGGGTTTTCTGTCTGTGCTGCCTGCAGTGCACTGGGCTATGTCTTGCTGAACACACATCCGAGGGCTGTTTTAATTTTGATTTGTCATTTTAAACGTGCATCCTGTCATGCATGCCAGACCATTTACTTTGCCCTTTCGAAAAGCCAGAGTGCCTGGACATGTACTGGTATTATTCGGCTGACAAATAAGATACCATTGTATTGTACTGTGTTCAATCTTTAGCCCATTCATGCAGTATGACTTCAGGATTAGTGTCATCATGCACAAGGTATAAAGCAAAAAGTACAAAGCAAGGCGGGTTATCGCATACGTATCAGTACAAGATAGCGCCAAATGGCTTGGGAACAATCCACAGGCTCATGCACATATTGCATGTAAAAGCTGTTTATAGAGTTTCCCAAAAGCTAATGCGCACAAACACGGAGCGAGCGGCTCTCAGGCTCTGAGTGCTCTTGGCGACACACGAGACGCGGACAGTGCCGGATGCTCAGTGACGGCCGGAGGCAGCTGGTTTCAGGAGACAGAAGCACGGTAGCAAACCGTTTGCACAGCCTCTGTGCGGCCAAGAGTTTGCACCTCGGCAGCTCCAAAGCTCCGGCCTCGGATGAACAGGTGTCCTGGCGAGAATCACATTATCTATACAACAAAATCAGAGATCTTCTCACAGGCAGTGTCGGACATTTTCTGTTCTTGTGGTTGGAAAAAGATTTTTACAGCTATGCAACGAAATCCAAGTCCAGATCTAAGATTGACAGAATTTACATTTTGTTACATGGACGGTTTCGAAAGATGGTGCGGATGGCACTCGCCATGGTTGTCGGGGGAAAAACTCAATGTTGATGGACGGATGGACGAAAAAGAAACGCTCGCCTGAGTCAGCCACACGGACAGCGGCTGTCTGTGTGGCTGGCCCAGGTGATGACCCGCCAGTTGTCCGCGCGGGATGAGCGTCGGCCGGCGATCCCGCGTGATGTCAACCGCGCCGTTGCCGACCGCCGGCAGGTACGGCGGCACCGAGGCTGCCACTTTCTGCTGCCTCACCACACTCTCCAAGCAGCTGCTCAATGAACACTCGGTGGACGTGTACATGTACGCCAAGCTCTACCACATACGAAGGCCGGGCGTCTGGCGAACGCAGGTAACCGCTCTCGTGGCTCGAATCATCCCCGTGATTTTGCTCGTGTCTTTCATGGCTCCTTTCGAGCTGGCTTCTGCGACAGGAGTGCAGTTTCACCGCTTCGTGCCCTGGGCTCTGACTGCGGCTCCTGGCGCTTGTGTTTTCCCCGCCGCCTCTGCCGTCCCGCTGACCCCTTCCCCGCGCCCGTTGCCAGGACGACTTCACGACGCTTTACCACACGGTGGAGGGCTTAGTGCGGCCGACCGGCTCGCCCAGTCCCAGCACCAACTCGGAGGCGGAGGCGCTGCTACGGCCGGGCACGCTGTCGCGGCGCAACGGCACCCTGCGTGTGCCGCCCGACGGGCGCGAGTGCCACGTGCGCGCCGACTGTGTGTGACCCGGCGGCGCGGCCCGGCGTTAGCTCGGACCGAGCGGGGGCGAGCTGCCGTCGGCCTCGGCGCGGCTGGAGCTCGCAACAGGACCAGGTCGCGCCGTGCCGATGGCGGGGGAGCTCCCTATGGCCTCCGAGGCGGGCGCTGTGCCGCCGGCCGACCGCGCCGAGAGCGGCACCTCGTCACTGGCGTACTCCGGGAGAAAACGTCCCGAGCGCCGTCACTGCGCGCTGGCCAGAGCGCTCTCGCCGGGAGCGCCGCCGCGTCACTGGCGTACTCCGGGAGAAGGCGTCCCGAACGCCGTCACTGCGCGCCGGCCAGAGCGCTCTCGCCGAGAGCGCCACCGCGTCACTGGCGTACTCCGGGAGAAGGTGTCCCGAACGCCGTCACTGCGCGCCGGCCAGAGCGCTCTCGCCGGGAGCGCCGCCGCGTCACTGGCGTACTCCGGGAGAAAGCGTCCCGAACGCCGTTTCTGCACGCCGGCCAGAGCGCTCTCGCCGAGAGCGCGCCCAGTCGCACTGCCGGTGCCAAACGCCGCTGTTGTTTTCACCACCTGGATCTCACGAGTGACAATCCATTGTGCCAATGGCCGGTTGGCGCCATCTTGCCCAGTTCACATGACACCCTCGCCGCGGACCGTGTCGCTGCTACCAAAGACGCGCTGGCGGGGCCGGTCCCCGCGGGGTCCGTGCGGTACCCATCCTCAGTATTACAGCCCAGTGAAACGTTCCATAACCAGGTGCAGGGCCGCGGCGGCCGCGCCAGTTAGCCATGGCCTGCTATAAAACTACTGTGTATATAGAGCTTGCTTTCTTGTAGTCAGCGGAATCTGTGATCGGGTCAAAGCGTCGCATCCATTGCGTTGAGCACGTGTGTATGTAGCTTTTGATACTAGATGTTGGTGCTTTCATTGCGATGCGGTGCCGTATGGTGCAAGCTGGTGCGTACATCAGGATATTGCTTTTGTGATTACGGCGCTCGAAGCCCAGGAGCCATCAGCTGCTGCGTGCGTCAACACGTGACGCGGCTGTGTGCCTCTGGAGCGTCACGCCTCGCTCGATTGGTTTGTAGACTAGGTCATGTTCACACAGAGTTCACCTTTTTAATTACCGTCCGTTGTTGCGTGCCGAACGTCACTACTCGGTGTAGAACTTCTCCAGCAGCGGGCGAACCACGCGGTCTGACCATGTTCTTCCGAGCCGACCGCGGCTCACCAGCAGATTTTCCAATTCTTACGTAGTGCAGATACCAATCCCACACTTTGCCCCCTTTTCTCCACTGTTTCCGTTTCCTCGTTGGGTTAATGGAAACAAGCTTATGCTTGAACGTGATGCTTCGACGCCCCGCGCGTGGTCGAGTTCGGTCCTCGGGGGGTGTGGGCCACCGCGTGTGCTACCGCTCCCGTCTCCTCAGTAATGCTCCCCATCTTCGGGTGTGATTCCAGGCCGATATGCATCCCGTGACTTGGCCCCGTAGCGCTCACTCAGTTGCCCGATTGTGTGGTGGGAGGCGGGGTCTGCGAGCCGCGTCCGTGCGCGCCGCCGCTCGCGCCCGCGCCTGCGCGCGCCCCGCCGGCGCAGCGGCGCGCCCCTGTGATGAGAGCCGCTCCCCGCGGTCGCAGCCGACTCGCTGGGTCCGACAGAATGCTCTATTTTAGCGGACGGCGACTTCCGCGGACTACCTTACTCGGTGCTGTAATTGTGGTCACTCGGATCTGTTCACGTGTTTGTACCAGTTTGTAATTAGTATGTTATTTATGATGCGGGCGTTGCGCTTGGCGAATGCGGCGCAGTCACGACTCCATCTCGCTGCTGAGAGGGATATACAGTGGCTGAAAACTTGGTCCTCCTACACATGCATTACCTGTATGTGTGAAATATACACGTCTTTTCAGTTTTCATTCGCTTTTCCAGTTTGTTCCTCTGCTTAAACACTAGCCATTCCAGCGACCGTTTCGTCGGGAGGGTATGCGATCTGGTGCGTGGCCGGGCGGGGCTACTTAGTGTTTTCTGAGCAAAACGAAGGGAGCCTGGTCCAAGGTGTCTTCCGCTGGAAGACCGTGTTGTCTCGTAATCAGTGCACAGACAGGTCGGTGTGAACGTCAGCGCCTTTCAGATCCATTCTCTTAGTTTCACCGTGGATGCGCGAATATCGTTCGCATGCATCAGTGCCATCGTGGAGCTGGAGTTTGATCGGTCCGGACGGGTCTGGACAGCCCACTTAAATCGTGCATTTGGCCAGTATGAGCGCAACCAGCACACCTACCGTGCCTCAACAACAATATGATTTATGAAATGCATGCAAAACGACTCGCATGTGCCACAACTTGGGCCCATGGCAGCGCCCCCCCCCCCCCAAGCCCTACCACAGACCAGCTCAACACGAGGTGGCTATCATGGTAATGCGACCTTCATTTGCATAATCGCTGATATATTTCACATAGTTTTGCAAGGCTCATTAGTGTCGTAATTATGCACGGATAGTTCGGATAGGCCCACCCGCACATGCAGAGTGCAGGCTACGAAGACAAAAGCCCTTTCACGACCCTCATAGCAGGGCCGTGATGGACTGCAGTGGGGCTGTATGGACCCTGCAGCGTTTTATGTGCTATACTTCCCCGCGTAAAGCTACTTCCTCCGATTTTCCTTGGGATTTTCAAATATAACACCGAGGACGACAGCGGGGAACGGTCTCTGTTGTGGAACAGCAGCATTCTTTTTTAATTAAAAAAAAACACGTCCGCGCAAGATATGAATGGCGCTTACGCTTATCGAGGCCAAATTTTTTGTGCATAATTTTATATTTTCATTTCAGGATAATGTCGAGAATTTCCAGCTTATCACTAAGCCTACCACGTTTTTTACTGTGCATTTTACCATGCAGACGTTTCGTTCTCCGCTTACAAATCATGAACATGCACACCAAAATCTAAAAAATCATTACATTTTTCAACTTTTTTACATGTTTACTTCAGGAGGCTTGGACAAACAAGTGTTCATTTAGTCTAAAAGCACTCATTTCTCTAAAAAGTGGTGGCAGCTTACACTGTGGTCGCCATTTTGAAGTGACGCAAGGTAGCGAAATGCGCAGCATATTGTTGTGAAAGGGCATGGGTGGAAATGGCGGCGGAATGGTGGTGTGAATAGTCGTGTGCGGATGTGGTTGACTGCAAGGACTCCGATCGGACAAGAAGCTGGCTTTCCGCACAATTCAAAGTGCTTGGTGACGATGTCGCTATTTTCAAACCGTTAATAGGACATCATCTAACCTTTGCTTGTCTGTTTCTGTTCCGGTCCTTGGCGCGCGACCTGAGCATATGCTGGAAAGCTTGCAAGTTCTGTTGTTTCTGAGTGGTGACAGTTGAAAAAATGGGAGAGGAAATAGAGAAAGAATATCTCTCTTCTTTAAAAGACCTTACCTTTAACTGCAAACCACTCATCAATATGTTGACACTCCTTGCTGAAGAAAATTCGGTGAATGCACCGGTGATCGTGCAGACCATAGAAAAACACTTGTCGAGGGTGAGTGCTGTGCAGCTTTATTAGAGACAAGGTGGATTAGAGCTGAGATGGTTAGGATAGCAGTCATTATCATGGTGGTGTTTTTACTTGCAGTGGCTTGTTTGATGCAAGTTTACTTTTGATGTGAGTGCATTTGTTTTTTAGTTGCATTTCAGTGTAGGTATTAATGGTATTGATTTAATCTGCAGAAACTTATTTGGAGTTCTGAATTTGTTCACAGTTCTAGTAATGTTCATGTCTTGTATGTTCCTAAATGAGCCTTGGTAACCAGGGTCAGAAAAAAAGCTGGAGGCATTATTGAGACATTCCTCTGGCTCTGCTGGTTTTCAACAGTTCAAACTGGATGAAGCTAATGTCATATAGTTTTGAGAGTGTCATTTTTGTTGTCATCATCAGGCAGTAGTTGTGGCACAAGTCACTGATGTGTATACCCTGCAGATACTGTATTTTGTTGTTTCCAGGTGCTTGTAGCATCATTCTCCTTCACCCAGCTTTTTTAGCTTTACTCAGATTCTCTTAGCTTGGCTGTTGTCATGTGCCAGTCATTAATATATCAATGAAACAAAATTTTGAACAATAACTGAGCTGGAATAGAGTGATGCTTACCTTGGACCAGACAGGAATAAACACCTTACATGGTCAAACCTCAGGACTTTGCTAATCTTTACACAGACATATTGTGCATGAATGGTTGACCTTAGAGCAGGGAGTATATTCACAAAAAAGCAGGGGGAATATGCCATCTTTCCTTGCAATTAAGTAAAATGTTGATTGTAATGTTAGTCATAGTGGAACTTTTCCATTTCAGGACAACTTGGAATATTGTGGACTAAATATATGTATACCTATATTTTGTGTGTGTGTTGGTGGGTGGGTGCTGTGTATGTGTGTTGTGTGTGCAGTGTCAGCACACATCCTCAATTAGAATGAGAATATTGAGAATATTCTTGTGTTTAAGGTTATACTTTTTAAATATTTCCTGATGTGTAGTAACATGCCTCATGCAAATCTTGCTACCCAATATTGAAAACTTAGGATTGTTCTAAGTTCTCTCTAAGTCTAAGTTCTCATGTTATTTCTCATTCCCCATTCAATACCAGTGCAGCCCATTGCTCAGTTTGTGTGCAATGTATATGTCTATATTTAATGATATTCTTATGAAATGAAGATGTCATGTTTCATTGCATGTTGACCAGTCAAATGCCAGTTTGCAAAAGCTGCACTTTGAAGATGTGAAAGCAAAAGACTAGCCGTCATAGCCTTGCAATGTCACGACAGCTTTGGTGCACCAGTATCATGCTGTCAATGTTAAAACCTTTTGTATGCTCTCATTATCCTAATTGTTGTGTCTGCAAAGTAAGATAATATAATTGTTTTATTATTATGAATGGTGTTCTCTGCTCTGATGTTCTTCCTGCTTCATGCTGTGCAATGTCACAATATCGATGTGCCTGTATCATGCTGTTAACATTCAAACTTACTGAGTGGTCATCCTAATTGTTATATTGATGATAAAGGATGACATGATTCTGCTGTTTACTTATTATGAATTGTGTTTTGTTCTCTAAAGAAGATGATCCAGGTACAATATGTCCATTTAAAGGCAGGCAAAATCCTGTAAGTGTAACAATTTGCTTGCATTTTATAGCAAGCCAATGTTTCAAAAAATTATGCTGTGGCAAAAATAATTTCAGGCTAGCATATTGTAAGCAAATGTTATGACAAACCAACTAATATTCAACACAATTTGGCTTGGCCTGAATTTGATGCAAACAAGAACAAGGTCAAGTGTCCTAATGTGTGGTAGGTGATCATGAGTTTTATGGTTGTGTAAGGTGACAACCTATGATATTCATCAATGTGGAAGCTGGGATTGGTTGCACATATTCTCCAAGCATGTGTTTATTGCAGTTTGTGGCATAAGAGGTGCACTGATGCTTTAGCAGTGAAGCTATTGAAATATGTCAATGTGGCATTAAATGGATAGCATTTGTGAGAATATTTGTAATGCAATCAGCTTTGTTGTCTGCTATACCAGAAAGCAAGCATAGCTTTTCAGTTTTGCCCATATTGTGTTAATCATGGTTAAAACTTGTTGAATCATTTACTGATGAATGCTTGCCAACCCTATCCACAACATGAGTATCATGGTTTTGCTTCCATTAGGTGTAACATGCTTTGAAGCATATCTTTTGGGTACATTTAAAAAAGAAGACATGGCTCCAAGGCTAGTATGCAGTTGGGTACTGCATTCTAGAGCAGGTACTCCATTGTGATAGCCTGTGTATTGTGCCACTATGTGGTTGTGTTTGCACCTCCAAGACATTATTTACGCCAGCTGGTGGTGTCAGGAGTAAGCTTTGTTACTTATATAGCAATGTTGATCTAAAAATATTGATGATGGTTGCAAGTTTTGATTTCCAGAAAACAAATGCTAGATCATGATGAACTAGGTCATGTGGCATGCTCAGCAATGTGCATAACACCCATAGAAAATGCTGTCCTGCAGACTGCATCTATGTCATGTTTGTCAGAGAGATAGGATATTTCACGTCTGCCACCTCAGGTCACAGACAGGCAGCTCTGGTATATGCTCATGATTCATGTATTGCCTTTTTGCTAGATGTTATGTTTGTGCTGCACTGCTTATGCATTATTCAAGGATTGATGTCAGATCTGGGTGACCAGAACAGACAGAGACAGATGTGAAAGTAACTGCATGCTGTAGGCTTATATGCTGTTTGCAAACCTCTAAGCAAGCCAAACACTGCCATATGTCATAGGTGATTGACAATAAGTGGCCATGCCACTTTTACAGAGCTGGTTATGAACACAATGCTGTGGTCTAAGCTGACACAGACTGGACTGTGAGGTGTATGGAGGTTTGCAGCCAAGCGTATGGGATCAATATTCATCTCATCCATTTGTGCCTTTTACAATACATAAGTGGATTGAATAAATCAGTTTCAATGCTGAAGTAATGGAGACCACAACCACCAATGTCATTTGGAATTGTTACACTAGTTCTATGCATCAGGGAGCCTCTTCCTCAACTGTCATGGAAGATGGACATACCATTGTATAGGAAGGTGCCTTTTGGAAGCAGCCTGGCCTCATTTTCTGACATTTTTGTGCATCTGCATGATGAAACTTCTGTCTTACCACTTAACATGCCTCTCACAATGTGTCTGCCTGTTCCAACAGTGGTTGGTCTGGATGCAACTTTAAAGGTGACCATTGCACTCAACATACTTGATATGCTTTGGATAGGTCTCTGGCTCTGCATGTGAACAAATCAATACATGTACCATGCCTGGACATTGTTCTCAGACGGACTACAAGCTGCCATGTCTGTACCTGATGGACTCCATCCTGAAGAATGTTGGCAAGGAGTACCTGCAGCTGTTCACCCAGAACATAGTGTCGACATTCGCCGCGGTGTTCGAGAAGGTAACATGACGCGGCCGCACCGAACGTGCCGCTAAACCCGCCTCTTGCAGCAGTGGCCGGCTCCAGGGCCGGACGGCACCGGCGGCTGGGGCGGCGGCGAGGCCAGACGGCGGCGGCTCGGACGGCGCACGGCTCACTCCCCCGGACAGGTGAGTCCTCTCGGCCGAGCTGTGCCGCGCCGCCCTCCTGTGCTGGCCCCTAGTCCCGATCTTGGGCACTAGATTGGTTTCTGGGTCTTCGGTCTTGGTCTCTGTATCTGTATCTGTCCCTTCCTCTGTCTCTTCCTCTGTCTCCGCCTCTTCTGCCTGTGCCTCTGTTTCTATCCCCATCTCTGCCTCTGCGTCTATCTCTGCCTCTGCTTCTATCTCTGCCTCTGCTTCTATCTCTGCCTCTGCTTCTGTCTCTGCCTCTGCCTCTGTCCCTGCCTCTGTCTCTGTCTCTGGTTCTGCCTCTGTCTCTGTCTCTGCCTCTCACACTCCCTGTGCCCACCTCTTCCTGTGTCTGCCTATTTCTTTGTTTTTGCCTCTACTTCTCTGCCATTGTGCTGCTGTATCGTTGCCACTGCGCCGCCGTGTAGGGGGAGGGGCAGTAGGCTGTAATGTTGAGCACCACGCTAAATACACTATCTCCTCTCTCCCATGTCACCTTTGGTCGGCACTGTCTGTGTAGGTAACAGCTCATTGATACCTATTGGGATAGCCGCATATTGTGCATTCATTGTGTTCTAGGTGATGCTTAGTCTTATTTGCTGTGAAGGACTTTGGATGTGTTTGAGACAGCCGCGTTACGCCTATCGTTCGCTGACCTTTCGAAATCACATGCTCGTACAAATTGTTGCATCCGGTCGAAGATGACTAGCAACTGCAGGCTAAATATGAATAAAACACCATAGCAATTTTGCCATTCGCAGATATGACGTTAGACACGTTGTCATTTTGTCCTTTGAAGTGGTCTGCGTGCTTTAGGCAGTTGTGCGGTTGAGACGTTTGGAGAAAATTGATTTCGTCAAGCGGCGCCAAAGAATGTGGTGGCACTTCACTATCATTGAGATGAAATTGCTTACTCTGAGTCACCTAACCCAGTTGGTTAGTTAAACATGTGGAACATACCGTAATGATAAAGACGAAACATTGCGTTCAGTGATTCGCACCCGTCCTGGATGTCACCGGCCTCAGCATACCTGACTGGACATTCGCTTCCGGCAGCGTGGTGCACCAGCGACCTGTTTGGCGTCTGCCAGTCACGCTCCGTGGCCGCCGCACTGCCGGGAGGAGTGTGGCCGCTGAGAGTCGAGCCCAGCCAGACCGAGCCGAGCCGAGCCGAGCCGAGCCGAGCCGAGCCGGGCCGAGCCGAGCCGAGCCGAGCCGAGCCGGGCCGGGCCGAGCCGAGCCGAGCCGAGCCGGGCCGGGCCGGGCCGAGCCCAGCCGAGCCCAGCCCAGCCGAGCCGAGCCGAGACCAGCCCATCCCAGGCCAGCCAGTGTGCTGGCGCCGGCCTGACCGCAGCGTCCGCAGCAGCGAATCGCGTGGAGCCCCTGCCGGCGTGCAGATGGTCGGGCAGGGGCTTGCCAGGCCATGCCGGAGCCTCGGTCCACCATAGGTGGTCTGCCGTGTACCGATGTGCAGCGTTTTATTGCAATAAAACAGTTGCACCAGTGTGTACAGTGACGCTTGCACGTAGTCAACATGAACACACGAGACCGAGAACGTTGTTTGAATTGACCTGATGAAGTGAACCATTTGATTACCTCTGGGCACGCGGCTCGCGCAAGTTCTAGGGCAGGACTGTCATCTCAGATGCAGCATATCCTAGCCGCGGCTGACCCTCGGGCAGTCACCGACGGTGGATATGCTGCTGACGATGAGGGCGACCTCCGGTCATGTCGACTGCTTTAGAGATTGTTGCCCTCAGAGATTTAACAAGCCGTCGTAGCGAATTGCATACTGCATGACAGAAGGGTTGACTGGCGAACCCTTTAGTACGTGTACCGGCGATCCTGGGCCACCACGACTGGTTCGTTGTGGAAACAGTAAATGATCCTGAAGAAGCCCTTCCTGCCAGGGTGAGAGGCAGGCGACGCAACACAGCCTCAGATGCTGAGCGCGTCGTAAAGCCCCAAGTCCAACGCCACTTTAACCACCAACGTAACAGATATTGAACACATTGACACTCCTTCGTACTCGGTCTGGAAGCAGCACTAGTCCACATTGTGTCCTGACCCCGACCAAGGAGAAGACGGATGCGAGTTGCCTTCACTGTGTACTTGGTCGCTTTCCATATACCGACCCAACGGCCCCCGAGGGTAGACTGGCTGCACCCTCGACCTCGGCTGCCGGAAGCGTCCGCCTTATGTGAAGCTAATGGCGCTCGATCTCTTTTGCAGACAGCGAAAGTCTCGTGGGCTGCGTTGCGTATTTTTGTGTCCGTCCTGCGTGTGGTGGAAGCGAGGCGACCATGTGTGATGGCGAATGGAAATAAAGTGCGTGGTGTGACGCGGGCGAGCTGCCGGGTGCCGGCCGATGCCGTCTGTCGGTCAGGGCTGAGGGGAGCGAGCAGGGGTCCGGCGGCGGCGGGGTGACCCCACTCATAACCGGCAGGTCGACGAGAAGGTGCGGGCGTCGATGTTCCGTCTGCGACAGACTTGGTCAGGCGTGTTCCCAGCTAAAAAGCTGTACGCGATTGACCTGCGGGTCCACAGCATTGACCCGGCCTGGCCGGTGATGAGCTCCGCCACTGCCAACAAGAACACAATCCACATCAATCCGAAGCTCTTCAAAAAGGTAAACCTCCAGAGGGGCTCTTCGGACCTGCTTATAGACGCCTCGATTTTTTCAGAAGCCCAGAATTTTTTATTAAAAAATTGAATTCATTTTGTCCATACTTTGCCGAGTTCCAAGATGCTTCGGGTGTTCTTATCCTGGGATGTAGCGGGCTGCAATTGACAGAGGCTGGTGCCGACAGGGCTCGGCGGCTGCTGCCTCTAGTCTTCCCGCCTCGTCTACGGCGCCTGCGCCGGCCGCGGCGCCGGCGGTCAGCCCCGCCTCCATGGACCTCATCACCGAGAAGCAGATGGAGCTGCTCAACTTGCAGATCCAGAAGGTGGAACTGGAGCTGCAGTGCGCCGGCTCCCGTCAGGAGCAGATGCACAAGCAGAAGGAGCTGCTAGAGCTCCGCACGCAGAAGGCCCAGCTGGAACTGCAGCAGGCCACCAGCAAGCTGAAGAACAAGGTGATCGCGGAGCCGTCTTCATTCCGCTGTCGCGATGTCAAAGCCCCACGCTCGTTCTCCAGCTTGTGTTATGATTCCCACATCACTGTCGTCGGGAGGCGAGGCGACGTTGAAGGTGATGCCAGTGCTACCCGGTCCAGTTGCATGTGGCGATTCGCACAGGTGCATAGCTGAGACGTGTCTGGTGTGCGAGGTGCTATCGAGAGAGCGCGGTGTGCTGCGTCCGAGGGAGAGCAATCAGGCAGTGTCTCGCGAGTGGTGACAGCAGCGGATGTGCAGCGTTGGTTGGTGTGGGGCGCTGGCCGTTAGACTGACGCCTGCCTTTCGTCTGTAGGGTGGAATGATGGCGGCGTCGACCACGTTGGGCGTAACGCAGGCTCAGGTACGCACGGTATTAGGGGTAGGGTTGTCGCTTTGTTTTCCTGAGCACTGGGCGTGGCGTTCGGACGAGAGTGGAACTTGCATGTGATCCGTCGTCCTTGGGATCCCCGCCTGTATCGCCTGGCTACAACTGTGTTGGTCGTCATGAATTCCACCCGGAATGTTCTGAACGCGATAACAGCGATATTGAGCGTCCGGGCTTTTTTGCGCTAAACCACGAATTCTGGAGACACGCTTGTGGTATGCCCTGCCTCGCGGAGTGACGTACGCGTATAGACTTGCTGCCCAACTGCGAAGCTTTCTCTAGTTGGGACCCCATTCATACCCCCCCCCCCCCCCCCTGTCCCCTAAGGCAAACGATTGGATTGTAAAGGTCTGTTGAACCCCATGGTGTTTGGCCATTAGAAACGCATGAAAACAGCTCCTATTCCAACTTGCTGGATTTGTTCTAGCGATTGCGTAGTGTCTTGAAAATCCTGCTCATTTTTTACGGTGGAAATTGCACGACTTGAACAGAGCGTTTCATTCTGTTCTCGTGAGAGGCAGAGTCCGTTGAGTAGCGCACCGGTCTTTCACCATCATATTGTGTTCGGAAACACTGACCTCGACCAGTCAAACAACGGCAAATTCATGTGGATCGTAACGTAGGGCAGGTCAGGTATCAGCAACATTAAATGACGTTTTTCTGATGGCTGGCTTGTGTTTGCATCGAAAGCAGACTGAAAGCAGTTCTGCCGTAGTCGACTAAAATGCGTTGTTTTAAGAATCTGACGGATGGAAATCGACTCGCTGATTGGATGAAATCATCGAGCTGATGCGAAAAGCATCATTGATTTGCATACAGTACCTTGTCCTGGCTCGCCATCTTAAATTTCGATTAAACAAAAGTTGTGCTCGACTACCTTGCTACACAAATAGGCGTCCTGCGCGAGCCTCTGTGAGGCCCGAACTACGATTTATTCTCCAAACCATGTTTACGAGTAGTCGCTCCCTCAATATAGATCACTTGGCCTATATTTTGAGGTGAGAATCTGAATCGGATCATGGCTGTGTAGTGTTGCTCGGAAGGGGAATCGGTATCGTGCATGCGGGTCTGGATCAGAATCCCATCTGGTGCGGGGTTCACCTCAAGCTTGCCCTGTCTGATATGGAGCGCCGTTAGACTATTCCAAACATGCGGCCAGAACCTGGACCAGCGCATGCCACACATTCGCCGGCCTTTAGCTGGAAAGAGGTCATTGGAACGAGCGGATGCCGCGTGGTGCGCGACAAACGCGACATCCGACAGCAACATGTGGCCGGGCCGTAATTATACTCTCCTTCCGTCATGCTCCTTATTTATGGGGATTATGCCGGATCTTTGTGGCGTTGCCAGCGCTGTTGGCCTTCTAGGAGAATGCACGGTCAAATCTGATGCGGCTCGGTGAGTCCTAACAGACGATGTCGGTGCCCTTTCCGTCTCGTTTTTGCTGCCATCGACTAGTGTGCTGGCGCATCGGTGCGCCGATGCCATGCGAATGCCGCGGCACCGCCACCGCGCGCCGCAGAGTGTAGGTGGCATCAATGGTTCCAAGCATTCGCGTTTGTGAGGGTTTGCCTGATGGTGGGCGTTTTTGCAGGTCACAGCAAGTCCGGTGTCTACAGTCGCCACCAGTAGCACAGCATCGCCTCAGGTAGGCCCCGCCCGAGCGCATCACAAACAGCCATCAGCGTACCCGGACGTGCGATATCCCATGGACACTCAGACGCCCAGCACACTGTCCTCGGGAGACCCCCAGACGTTCTGGGCACGGTCAGCAGGACACCCTCAGGCGTCCCGTACAGCTCCCGGGACGTGTGCATGCGTTCCGCACGCTGTTCCTGGGGACAGAGCGCTGGGGCTTTCACTCGCGACGCACCCCTGACCGTTTCTCGCTGCACCGTCCGGGCAGGACCCGTGTATGACCCGAGCCCGGCAGATGCTGCGTCCGTTGCGCAGCGCCGCCGCCATTGTGGCGTCGTGGCCTCCCCATCGACTGACGCGTGCCGTTGCAGCTTGTGGCGGCGCAGGCCGAGGCGCGGGCGGCGCTGGAGGCGGCGGCAGCCGGCGCGGCGCAGGCCGAGCCGTCGGCGCGCGCCGCCGGCGACCGCGGACGTGCCCACTCGTCCGCACGCCACAAGTCTAAGGTGGCTGCCGGGCCCGGTGGTGGGATGGACGCGGTGTGGCACGCTTGCTGGGCACGGTCGCCGCTTGGGTTGGTGTGCGGCGGCAGCACGTGGCGGTGGTGTTCCCTCCCGGGCGCGCGCGGCCCGTGGGCTCCGAGTCGCGCGGCGGCGGCAGGCGTAGAGCGGTGCCATCCTGCTGTCAGGCAGCGTCGCGCGAGTGGTTAGGTGGTTTGACACAGGTGCAAGTCTAAGATGTCTTGTAGGTAACGTCGATTTCGATTTGAGTTGGTTTGGACGAGGTGCCGCCCAACGGTTTACATGGGCGGGACGGGAAAGCCAGACGAATGTTGCCCACTTACGGGAGACTCAAAGTCGTTTAAGAATTGGCCTCCACACGACTTAGACGTCGCGGACGTGCCATTTCTCCTTAGGTATGACCATATTTTGGCGTTGCTGAAATGCTCATCATGCTCGATGGATCAGCTTGCGCGCAAAGCTTTGAATACAGCTTATACACAATCTTGTCACCTGCCGGTGGGAGCCGCGTGGAGCTGCAAAAATGACCCCAAAGACTGTTACGTAACAAGCATGTCGGTCGAGTAGCGCAAGCAGGCAATGTTCTTCTTCGGCTTACGGTATTGTTCGTAACGGCCGGCATGTGCCGTAAATGTCTATGAAAGCGAAATAGTGCTGTTCATGTCAACCATACAGGCGATAAGATCACCATCGTCCCACGTTCGCTACCTTCTCATACGATGGTTGATGGTTCTGCATGCTGCAGCGTTCGGCTGTAGGCGCCTCTCGCAGCGGGGGGGGGGGGGGGAGGGGGAGGGAGGGTTACCTGCGGGTACTGCTAGGGTGGCACACGACCTCCAGCAGCTGCTCAGCATCCGTCACCACCTGTTATAGGGGGGAGGGGGAGGGCTCTCATCCGCTCAAACGGGCCGGTCGGGTGTGCCCCTGGCACGGATATCATTGTGATCGCGTGCGGTAGCATCCCCAGGCTGGGAGCAGGAGCATAACAGGACTTCCTAACCGACCCGCTCGGTCGCATCACATCCAGTCTTTTCATTGCGGCCAGTATCGAACGCCACGCTGGACCAGCGATGGCGGAAGTGCACATTATCAGCGCTCGGTGCAATCAATACAGAACACGTTGCCATCGATATTAAGTTTGACACCACTGAAACGCTCTCCTTCCGCACAATGCTCCTGCCAACAGAGGCTGCGGCGCGAACTCCCGACGTCTTGCAGTTTGTTTTGCGCTCAGTTGTCGGGGTCCATGAGCCGCGGCATGTTTGGCACTCAGTTGTCGGGGTCCATGACCCATGGCCGGTTGTCTCGCCGTGTGATACACAAACGCCGTCACGGCGCTGGCTGTAGAGTGCTTGCCCCAACCTTTGACATGCTAACATGTACACAAGCCGGGTCAGTGTGTCGGTGTTGGTGGCTTCTTCTCGTGTCGCTCGCTGTTGGGGACGTGCGGTGGACGTGGTGCATGCTGCTCGTAGACGAGAGGTGTTTGGTTGGTACGCGCGCTGATCAGACGTCACTCGGTGTTACCAAACACGTTCTGCTGAAAAACTCGTGAGCATGCTTAGGCTTCTCTTTTTGCGCTCTGCGACAATTGCGCAGCGTGTTGAAGTCGTTATCAGCATTTGACTCGTTTGCCATGATAACTCTTGTGCCCGAAACTGTGACTTCCATGAACTGTCGCCGCGGCTGCTGCGCCACAGCCGCGCTACGCGTTGCCATTGCAGCCGTTTGTCTGTGTCCCGGCCGCTGACCGTCGCCGCCTGTCGTCCGTCCGCAGACGAAGATGACCATCCGACCGGCGCAAGTGATGACGTCAGCAGCGCCTTCAGACCCGCGCTCGGCGGTGGCGCGCGCGGACCCGCGCCAGGGCGTCAGCCGCGACCCGCGTCTGCAGCGCGGCGCCGCGCCGCCGACGGCCAGCGTGCCGCCACCGGCGCCGACGCCGACGCCGGCGCCGGCGCCGGCGCCGTCGCCGTCGCCGGCGGCGCGGCCGCCGCTGCTGCCGATGCCCCGTGTGGCGCCGCCGCCGCCGCTGATTCGTGACACGACGGCGGCGGCGGGCAGGTCGCGGCCGCCCACGCCGCCGCCGCCGTCGGTCAGCCGCTCGCCCCGCCCGCCGGCCGACCGCAAACACGGCGGCGACGAGGGCCGCGAGAGGAAGCGATCCAGCAGGGGCGACAAGGACGAGCGCTCGGCCGCCGAGTCGCCGGTCAGGGCCAGGAGCAGGGACAAGGCCAAAGACAAGGACAAGGGCAAGACGTCCAAGCACGAGTCCAAGTCCAAGTCGTCAAGCTCCCCCAGCTCGAAGAACAAGGATTCGGCATCGAAACAATCAAAGAAGTCGCTTGAGATAGGGAGGGAGAAACGCAGCTCGCCTAAGAGCAAGTCAGACTCTCCCAAATCCAAGCAGGCGGAGTCACCCTGCCAGAAGCCATCTGAGTCCCCGAAGCGCAAGCGAACCGACTCGCCCAAGCACAGGACGACTGACTCGCCCAAGCGGTCGGCGCCCGACTCGCCGCGGCTCAAGCCGGGTCAGTCGCCCAAACGGCGGCACGTGGAGGAGCCGGCGCGCCCGCGCGACAGTCCCGCCATCGCTGAAGCTCAAAAGCTAGTGCCGGAGGAGGAGGACGAGGACGAGGACGAGCCGGCGTCGGCAATGTCGCCGGCCCACAGCTCGCCGGTCGAGGACGAGACCAGCCCGGCCGTGTTCCGACGAGCTAAGAACTCGCGCTCGCGCCGGTACAAGCAGCATAGCTCGTGGAGCCCGAGCCCGGAGCGTGCGCAACAGGACGTGGACCTGCGCCAGCTGGAGCCGGCCGCTCACTCTCCGCCGCCGGCCAAACGCCGTGAGTTTCACCTGGGACACCATGGAGGAGCTCTGTTCAGCCGGCGTCGTGTTGCGCTGCTCTCAGATGTGTTTGATCGTCATCCTCGGTGGCTTTGCCATCGATTCGCCCCCGCAAAACTCTAAAATCAGTGAAATTATCGGCTGGTGTGCCACCTTTTGAAGAAACGTCATATAGCCCTAGCTGTGAAGTGTGTCGTAAAGCCTCATTGGCAACGAAATCAACACTATACTGCCACCCAGCGCCCCTTGCTTGCTTGCTTAGACATTTATTGTGCGTTGTCGTACCTGTTGCCGGTGACGCCTCATTGTGTGGCAGTACTGCTCCGCGTGACTGGCTGCTCCGCTATAACGCAGCAGTCGTCTGGGCGCCGCGGCCCTTCTCGCGCGTGTAGCTCTGAACCTGACCCGGACGCTGCGGCGTGTGCGGCGGCAGGGCGGACCTCCGACTCCAGCGACATGGAGAAGGAGAACGTCAACGATGTGGACCTGCGGCAGCTCTCGGGCCAGACGGTGCCGGCCGCCGACAGCCAGCCCGCCGCCGACAGCAAGAAGTCGGGCTTCCACGAGTGAGTGGCGGCCTCCCGAGGCCGTGGGCACTCCGACGTCCCCCACTGTGATAACGCGACCGCTGTGCGGCTGGCTACCTGGAACAGATGTAGGTCGCTAAGAAAGCTGTTAAGAGGGTGTAGGCGCGTCACTTCAGTCATGCGTCCGTTTTTGTGCCAATGCAGCGCCGGTCTGCGATGGTGGGCGCGACTGCACTGCAGCTGCCGCGATGGTGTGTGCGAGAAGGGCTCTCTTCGGCGCGCGCGCCATCGGTGTGCTTGCGTCCACGGTCTGCCGGCGCCGCGCTGCGTCTAGCCGCAGCCTGCGCCGCTATTGATGTCCGCCACTGACCTGGCGTCGACACCGCAGTCTGTTCGGCTCAGAGGACACTGACCTGCGCTTCGTCGAGCCCGCCTCGGGCGGCACGGGCGGCTGGCGCCAACTGAAGGAGGCGCGGCCCGACACGTTCAAGTCGCCGCTGCGTGCGCGCGCCGCGCAGCACACGCCCGGTAAGTTGTCGGCCGACTACCGGATCCCTCGCCGCGCCACCGCCGACGACGCAGTCCCGGCCGCGGCCGCCGCCGGGCCGGCCGCGGCGCCGGTTGCCGCCGTCGCCGTGGCGGCCAAGCCGCCGCCCCCGCAGCCGCCGCACCCACCGCCGCCGCCGCCGCAGCAGCGTGCCGCGTCACAAGAGGGCCCGTCGGGCGCAGGTGAGCGAACGCCGGTGCGCTCGTGGTGGAGAGGCGCAGCTGGTGCTCCTGGTGGTGGCGGCGGCGGACGACGCACGGGTCTGGCGGGCGGCACGCTCCACTCGGCTAACGGGCGGTGGTGGTGACGGTGCCGGGCGCGCGGCGAGCGACGCCAGGTGGGAGGTGGCTGGGCCGGGTCGGTCCGGTCCGGTCCGGTCCAGTCCGGCGCGGGCCGACCGCCGAGGCTGCCGTCGTCACTTGTCCCGCGCACCGCGGCAGCGGGTTCGGCTCGGTGTGTAGATCCAGTAGGTTTTACGAGATTTTTTTTCTTAATCCTGAAACCTTTGATTTGCGACCCACTCACGCTGTATCAGGCTATAGGTGGTCGCGTTTTTGTAAGTGAAGACTTCTATGTGCATTTGTTTCTGGAACCAGCATAAAGGATATTAAAGTGTAGCTAAGCTACCCGTACATTTTTCCAGACTTCGTGGCCTTGGGTAAAGCTCACTTGATTACTAAACAGTCATTGCTGCATGAAATAAACTGGACTTGGTCCTTGTATGCAAATATGGCGTGGCGAACCCTAAGCATACTACCCATGGTGTTATGGCCTAGGGCAACTAACTGCTGGATATGTACATTGGGCTTTGCAACATTTGGTTTATATGAGGTCCGTTCCGCAGGTCCTCCATGGGTTTGGCAAGGTCAGGCGTGGTTTAAACATTGTTTTTGTGGTGGTTTACTTAAGTGTTGCATGTGTGGTGCCTGATTTTATATTTTCTTTTCCCGTTTGTTCGATGGGATGGTTATGTACAGGTTATGTTGCCTTTTTTATTCCAGCGTGAGGTAACGAAATCACTCAGGGTTGTCGCGATGGTAGTTATGCGAAGCCATGAATCCGTTCTGGGATGGTGTTCGATGCTTGAAAGAATTTCACAACGCATGATTTTGAATTATTGCCATCGGTCAAAATACCAGTCCAATGGCCTATGCCAGAGGTGACAGCGCGCGTGGGCTCGCTCTGTCGGCGGAGGTGCCGCGCGTGGCGTGCTGACCGGCGGCGTCGTGTCGGCGTAGGTAGCGACGTGGACCAGCGTGTGTCGCCGGCCGGCCGGCCAGCCCGGCCGCCGCTGCTGCCGGCGCCGCAGCCGCTCGACCTGGACGGCGAGCTGCGCACGCTCGAGGAGTCGACCGAGGCCACGCAGAAGAACATTAAGATGATCCTGCACCAGGCCGAGGAGCAGCTGCGCTCGGAGAACATCTCCTGGGAACAGTACAACAACATCCTGCAGCAGGTGCGCGCGCTGTCCGGCAGAGGACGCCGCCAGCCGCTCCCGGCCACAGCCGAGCCTCCCCGGCGTGCAGTACGCCTGCTGTAAGGCCAGTAGGCACAGTTCCTCCCGCGTGCAGCGTCGCTGCTTGGTACTGTGGTGTTCATGGATTCGAGGATTGAAATGTCTGGTCACGTGGCCTCCCATCCGTCGAGTAGTCTCTAACAAATCTGAATTTTTGCTCAGCTGTCTTAGTACTGCCTCTCCTTGCACCGCACAACCTCATGTGTAAAGATCACTGGCGAATGTGTGTTTGGATTCGTCTGCTCATCACCAGTACTGTAGCCAAGGTCGAGCCGTCCGTCGTGAGCCGGCTCTGAAGAGCAGGACTGCACCTCTCACTTTAACGGCACATCCAACTGGTCTTGAATGCGCCGTCTTCCGTGTCGTTGTCGCTCGTTCCCGCGCGCTTGTCGTCGTCGTGACGCGGCCTCGGCCGTCATCAGGTGATCCAGCTGGGCGAGCGGCAGAAGATCCAGGAGCGGCGCACGCTGGAGCGGCGCCAGAGCATGTCCGAGCGCAGCCGGCGCGACAGCGTCTCGTCGGCGGCCAGCAGCGTCGCCGATGCCGACGACCGGCGCCCGACCGACACGGACGAGCGTGAGCCCAGACACAGACGTGAGTGGGCCGTGCGCGGTGGGAGGTGTCCCGGACCGCAGTCACCACCAGACAGCTTGCCGACAGGCGCGCGTGCACCAGGTACCAAACACGGTGGCTGCATACAGCATCGTTGCAATTTGGGATTATGCTGGTTTTAAAACGGTCTTGACGTTGTGAGTGCCGAGTGAAAGTGCCGCCGAATGGCCCCGTTGTCCAAATGCTCCAATGTCCAAATGTCCAAACGTCCAAATCCACGATGGCTGGGCACCTTTACATATAGCGGTGCTGCCCTGGGCGCCGGGGCGCGTCCTATCCCGGCCGTGGCTCTGCGTCCTCTCCCCCTCCTGTCCCGGGCGTGGCTTGCGTCCTCTCCCCGACTCTCGCAGTGCCGCCTGACGCCACCTGCCGTACGGCCGCAGAGGAGCCCGGTGGCGGCGGTGGTGGTAGTGAGCTGGGTTCCCGCGCCTGGGACGAACCGTCGGCGGCTGGCCGCGGCAGCGGTGGTAGCGGCGGTTGGCGCCGGCCCGGGGACTCGCGTCCGTTGCTGCCGCTGCCCGGCCGGCCAGGCCCGGCACCGCCGCGGCACGGGCCGGCCGGCTTCGGCGCGCCGCCCGAGCAGTACCGCGACCAGGATCACCGGCCACACCCCAGGTTAGTTGGCGCCGACACCGGGCGCAGACCCCAGACGCCGCCGCGGTGCGTGTCGAGTCCAACGCTTGTTTGCATGCAATCTTATCTGGTCCAACCCGTGTGAATCTTGGTGGGTGTTATATTGGGATTTTATTAGGTGAGTGTAAAGCAATAATTAACAATACTAGGAATGATGTGAGTGTAAAGTATTAGTTGCCAAGCTGCTTGCTCGACATGCACTCGTAAGGATGGATAAGTGAATAACACAAATACCGCTGGAGCTGGTGTCCTTGGCGGTGGTGTGCTGCTGGATGTGTCTGACGCCTGCCTGCCTCTCCTGGCTTCGCGGCCGGTGGCGAGTGTGCTGGTGTGTCTGACGCCTGCCTGCCTCTCCTGGCTTCGCGGCCGGTGGCGAGTGTGCTGGTGTGTCTGACGCCTGCCTGCCTCTCCTGGCTTCGCGGCCGGTGGCGAGTGTGCTGGTGTGTCTCACGCTTGCCTGCCTCTATTGGCTTCGCGGCCGGTGGCGGGTGTGCTGGTGTGTCTGACGCCTGCCTGCCTCTCCTGGCTCCGCGGCCGGTGGCGAGTGTGCTGGTGTGTCTGACGCCTGCCTGCCTCTCCTGGCTCCGCGGCCGGTGGCGGGTGTGCTGGTGTGTGTGACGCCTGCCTGCCTCTCTTGGCTCCGCGGCCGGTGGCGAGTGTGCTGGTGTGTCTGACGCGACGTCCCCGCGCCCACAGTGTGTTCGGCCCGTTCGCGGGGGCTCGGGGCGGCGGGCGGCTGCCGCCGACTGGGATGCGCGGCCGGCCCGGGCCACCGTTCGAGGAGGAGCGCACACTGCCGTACCGCGGCCGCGGCCGGGGCAGAGGCCGGCCGCAGCCGCACCACCCGGCCCACGGCCGCTTCGAGGAGGTAAGGCCGCCAGAGCGCCCGGGTTGGGCGCTGATGGCGCCGAGTGGAATGGGGAATGGAGGACGCTCGGTTGGTATTCTGGTAGATGTATGGCGTGGTCCTATAGGTTCTTTTCAAGTAATAAGAAAGTCTGAATGATTAGATGAGAGGATTATTGAATTCATTCAGTGGCCGCTTAGCACTGTAGACACAAGAGACAAGATCCCGACCGACCTGGTTACAAATGGAGTCTGGTGGTGAAAGTGTCAATCCTCCTCTCCTCAATCAATCCTCGCGGAAAATGCGCAGCTGGATCTAGGATCTTTCTCTATACTAGTAACCGCGGTCCTGCCTGATAATTGTTACGGTTACGGAAAATGCGTGTTATGATCAGCGGTCCAGTCTGGCGCTGAATGCGAGTGCGCGGTCCGCCATCTGTGTGCTGCGGTCTGCCGCACTCAAGGTGATGGGCTCGTCGAAGTGGCCGGGGCGTTCACGTCGTCTGGCCGCGCCGTAAGTGGTCGTCGTCACGAGGCGAGCCCGGTTCGTGACCGAGTTCTCGCGTCGCCCTGACGGCACCACCGCCGCCTCTCGCCGTGCAGTTCGAGTTCACCAACGAGCCGGACCTGCCGGAGGCGAGCGCCGACGACCTGGCTCAGGTGGAGCGCGACAAGGCCGACACTACGTCCACCTTCATCAATGAGGAGCCCAAGGAGATCCGCTGGTACGGCGAAAACTGCATCTGCCTGCTGGGCTGGGACGACCCGCGCATGCTCTTCTTCAAGCCGGGATCGCGCCAAGTCAGTGTCGACGGCCAGCGCGTGCTCTGCCGCTTCAACGACAAGTACTCGGAGGTGCTGGTGGACGGCGTACCGCACCGCGTCCGGCTGGGCGGCCCCACGAAGGAGGTGTTCATCGACGGCCACGGCCACCAGGTGTTCTTCGGCGGCGAGCCGGTCCAGGTGAGCCTGGACGGCCGGCAGCGGGCGTTGAGCGTCGACGGGCCGGCGCCGGGCGTGGCCATCGGCCGCCGGCGCACCGACCTGCTCGCCGGCAAGATCAAGCTGATCATCGACGGCAGCGAGACGGTGCCCATCTACCTCGACTGCAAGCCGCAGCGCTTCGACGTGGCTGGCAAGCCGCATGTGCTGCGCTTTCGCGACGGCTTCGAGCGCATGGAACTGAACGGTCACGTGATGCGCACCGAGTTCGGCGGCTTGCCGCTGCCGGTGGTGGTGGCCGGCCGCAAGCACTACATCCGCCTGACGCGCGTGCCGGTGCGCGTGAAGCCGGGCCGGATGACCATGAAGGGCATGCACCCGCACGTGGCCGGCTGGCCGCTGCCCTGGGAGGACCGCGAGCTGCAGCAGCCGGCCGGCGGCCGGCCGGCACCGCCGCGCGACGACGACGACGGCTCGCAGGACGAGCCGTTCGGCCGCGGCCGGCCGGCGCCGGGGCCGGGGCCGGGACCGCGCGCCGCCGCCGCCGCCGCCGGCGGCCGGCCCGGCCGTCAGCCCGCCTGGGACGAGCAGAACGACAGCGACTCGCGCGGCGGTGAGTGTACGCTCAGGTTGACCTGGGTTTGTGTCTAATGACCTGCGCGCGATTGGGTCTCGAGGCGCAGTGAAAAGAGCATGGTATGATGTGGCCTGGCGTTTGTGATGACACGGCGCGTAAAGGCCGGCGCTGCGGTGGTGCTAATGGAGCGACAATGACAGGATAAGTCGGCGGAGTGTTCAGATAGGTGCGTACATGGGCCACGATATATCCCCATATGTGCAACATGCTGCGTACCCCACTGAGACGTTTGAGGCAGAGTTTCTTGCAGCAGCGTTTACATATAGAACTGCCGAGGTGGAACTTGCTTCAAATCCAGTGGCATTCTTTTGCGGTGGGTAACCTGATTGCCTTTCAGCATCTTCCAATTTGGACGTCCTCACCAACATGCTGCCAACGACGGTCAGCAAGCCATCAGGCCCGTCATACCACGCTGAAAATCCAGGTACGTACTGTTACGCCTGCCCTCTGGCTGGATATCAGCGCCCAGTTCCGCTAAGACAAACGTCAGCATTGATTGGCTGGAGCGACACGCGAGGAGTAGATGGAAGGTGGCCAGAAGGAGTCAAGTTGGCATGGGTGGTCATATTTTGGCTATGCGGCACGGACTGCGGTTACATTCCTGTCCGCTGTTCAGGAGGTCGTTTGAGATCAGGCTATCCGTTCGATCGGAGCTTGGCCTTCTGTATGCAAACCACTCGGATTCGAATTTTGCCGCGCAAGACTAGCTTCCAAATATGTTCAGAAGATATTTAGATGGGGGTGCCAATCTTATGATGCCTTTCCTGCCCGTTGCAGGTGAGGTCATTTTGTGCGTTGCTTGCGCTTGTTGTGTGTACGTTCGCGGTGTGCCACGCGTTTTGTTGATAACATGTGCGACGGCGTGACTGTGGCCTCCTGACAGGAGTGGCGCTGGCTCCTGGTGCGATCGGCATGGACCTCAATGTTCTGCTCAGCAAGCTGGAGCAGACCGGCCTCATCAAGTTCCCCAGCGCTGGCAAGGGCCGCAACAAGAACAATAAAAAGGAGGAGGAGATTAAGAACATCAAGGAGATCAACTGGAAGGCCGAAAGCCTGAAAATGTGAGCTCCTCGCCGATGCTTGCACAGGGCTTGTCCAGTTGACACGTCTTTTATTTTGCAGTGTTATGTCCTGTGTGCCCGTTTTGGGGCAAGTTTCTTTGTGAGATTGCAATGATCAGCTATATTAGCAAGCCTTGCCGGCGAGGGGTGTTTGCTCCCCCCCCCCCCCCCCCCCCGTGAGCAGTTCTTCAGGACCACGGTTGCGTAGTTTTTAGCGTGTTCATTTTGGAGTTGTTTGCCGTCTTTCCCAGTCATAGCGTTTGGACTGACCCGAATAGTCACCTCTAGATGCTACCTGTCTGCTGGTATTTCGAGCCTAGCTCAATCAGTAGCCAAACAGCGACAGTGTAGCACTGCCGGCAGCAGCACCTTCAGCAGTGTCGTTCAGGGCAGCCCGGGCGCCGGCAGCGCCGTGTGGAGCGCTGTGGCGTCATCTGCCGTCTGCGTCTGGACCCGGCGACGGTGTCGGGGTCTCGCGCGGTCACCACCCCAGACCAGCTGGACGGACAGGTCAGCGCTGCTCGACCTGACCTGACCTGACCGGATGCCTCCGTCTTCGCCAGCCGACAGCCGGGCCTCATCAACCTGCTGTACTCGGGCATCCAGTGCTCGTCGTGCGGCTCGCGCTTTCTGCCAGAACAGACGGTGCAGTACTCGAACCACCTGGACTGGCACTTCCGCCAGAACCGGCGCGAGAAGGAGGGCACGCGCCGCGCCCAGAGCCGCCGCTGGTACTACGACCTGGCCAGCTGGATGGCCTATGAGGAGGTGGAGGACGCCGACGACAGGGGTGAGCGCTACAGGAGGCGGGCAGCCGGCCGCCCGCTGGCCAGGCTGAGCGGCGCTTCAGGAGCTGCGAGTGCAGCTGCGTAAGGGATTTAGAATGGGTGGGCGCGAGGACGAGTCAGGAGCAACTGACGTCTGTGAGGTGTGGTCAGCGCCGCGTACTGTCTGTCAGGCCGCGCGCACGTGGGGCAGATGCGTGGGGGTGAGCGGGGTCTGTCGGAGGTGACGTGGCCAGCCGTCTATGGCGACCAGTGCCGCCGTCGCCGTCCAGTGTCTGCTGGCGTCTGGGGGAAGTCGGCGCCGTTGTCGCGCCCCGCTCGGCACACGGTGACCCGTGTCGGCGCGGCCGCCGCAGCGGACCCTGCGTTCGAGCAGCCGGAGGCGTTGGAGGCGACGGAGGAGGCCGAGGATCTGGAGTCGATGTGCTCGGCGCCCGTGGGGCCCACCGAGGCTGACAACAAGTGCCAGGTGAGAGCCTCGCCGCCGCTGGTCGAGCGACCCGCGCTGGCCTCCGCTGCACCGCATGGGAATGCCAGTTTCAGTGTAAGGATCGGCTGTGATGCCTTTGGGGCAATTTGCTTGCGATAAAGCGTTGTGCCGGTGTGTGTACCGGTAACGGTTTATGAGCCGCGAAATGGAATCTGCGAGAAGTGGTGAATGTCGAGCTCGTAGCCGTCTTTGGTGCATTTGTGAACCGCTGGAAACCTCTATGCAGCTAGAGAAGTGTCCTGGTAGCCTAGGTAATTAGAGACAAATACGCGTGACATTCGGTGCAAGCTTATCTATAGGCGCGGTAGACAGGGACGCACGCCGCCTTTTCTGGTCCAGTATCCCCGCTGGCGTCCATGGGAAGTCCTGACGGAACGCCGCGTCGTGGCGCAGGTGTGCGGCGAGACGCTGCGCCAGTTCTACCACGAGGAGTCGGAGGAGTGGCATCTGCGCGACTGCATCCGCGTCGAGGGCAAGGCCTACCACCCGGGATGCTTCGAGGACCACAAGGTCAGTAGTGGTGGCACAGAGGCATCACGGGACAGCGGCAGCAGCCGCAGCGCCGTTACGCTGCGTAGACTCAGTTATCGTCAGTGAGGAACATTGTACTGAGCTGCATTATTTCGATGAGAACAAATCAACGCACCATCGCTGATTCGGTCGTAATCGAACCGGGAAAAACGGCTGTGCCGTGCAGAGCCATGATGTGCGCGAGCGGTCATGTTAACCGAGGCACGCGTATTACGCCGTATTTCCTGTGTCGCTCACGGCTGGTGCAGGAAGCCGACGCCTCCCGCATGTCACACAGCATCGCGTGGATGAGCTGCGCGGACCTCGCTGTGCGGGATGCCGGCGCCGTGGCTGACAGTGTGCCTGGCGCTGTTACAGACCACGCTGCTGCTGCAGTCGATGAGCCGCGACAGCACGGACGACGCCTCCGTGGACACGGCGGCGGCCGACGGCAGCCTCGCCGCCGGCGACGAACCCGCCGACGACGCCGAGCGCAAGCCTTCTGCTGATGAGCTCAAGGCGGAGCCGGGCGCCAACATTAACGCCGACGTCGGCGACGCCGAGGCGGGGGTGAAGGCCGCAGGCGCGGAAAAGCCCGCCGAAGTCAGGACGGAGCTGGATGCTGACGTAACTATGCATGATGTGGACGCGAAGAAAGAGGAAGCTGAAGGTAATGCTGCCCGGGACGCTGACCTCAGGGACGAGAACGCCGGCGTGGAGATGGAAGACCCCGACGTAAAGACAGATGACGCCAACGTCAAGACAGAGGACACTGAAGTCAAGAAAGAAGACACTGACGTCAAGCCGGAGGACGTGGCGACAGCAAATACTCCCCTTGACAACGAGGAGAATTCCAACGTCAAACGGGACGATGCGGCTGCGAAGGCAGAAGAGGTCGCTGCGAATTCGGGCGGCGCCGTCACGGAAGCGGACAGCTTGGCGGGCTCTGCCGCGCCAGCGTCGGCCGAGGTCAGCGGGATCGACGCGGAACAGGCCGGTGCCAGTGTCCCGGACAAGGAGGAGGCGCCCGGCGACGGCGACGGCGACGGCGACGGCGACGGCGACGCCACCGCTGCGCCGGAGGACCGGAGCGTCGCTGCCGTACCGCTGGTGGCCGTGAAGCAGGAGCCGGAGGACGCGGAGGAGGCGGCGCCGGAGCCGCAGTTGGAGCCGGAGTCGGGGCCGCAGTTGGAGCCGGAGCCGGAGCCGCAGCTGGAGCCGGAGCCGGACGTGGACGTCAAGCGGGAGCCGGCGTCACGTGACCCGCCGCCGCCCGCCGAGCAGGCCGGCCGCAGCCGAGGTGAGTGAGGCCGGCCGCTGCCGTCTCAGCGGGAGCCGGCGTCACGTGACACGCCGCCGCCCGCCGAGCAGGCCGGCCGCAGCCGAGGTGAGTGAGCCGGCCGTCGAGCAGGCCGGCCGCAGCCGGGGACGTGAGGCGGCCGCTGCCGTCTCAGCGGGAGCCGGCGACCGACGTCGCCGGGGCCCGCAGTTGGTCGTGACCTCGTCTCAGCCGGCTCGGTAGCCAAGCTGGTGAACCGTCGTGGTGGGTTCGGCGGCGGGGGTGGTGTCCGGAGCAGGGTAAGTCAGCCGCTTGGCGCTTGATTTTTGACTAGACGATGGCGTATTTAAAGCAGATGTATGTGTGCTTGCATTGATCTCGGCCCGTTTCGTCTGGGAAATCTCAGCCGAAGGAAGTAAACAGCTGTGGGTATTTTAAGAATAATCCTAGCTTATGGTGCCAGTTCCCGGCGCCGCTCGATTGCTACTGGTACTACAGCATTTGCGTTTTTTCTCGATGCAGCCTGCCAACTCTGACATCAAATTGGTCTTTGAAAATTGATTGACACCCCCACCCCTAGCTAGACTGTGACCTATTGAACATTGAACCGTGACCTACTATTTGTTGTCTTCTCGCCGGGGCGTTATGAGCTGCATAGCTTCAGATAAACAAATAACTCGGAAACTTGTGTTCATTGCTATACTTGACTTTGTATGATCACCTTCCCACTCACCTTTTGTGCACCGGCTACTGCTAAAACTTGCATGGGGTGTGTCCAGCAGCATCAATGCTGGGACCTTCGACCTTTTATGGCATTTTCCACCTAACCTGCAGCATTGGCCCCGTGACGCTGCGGGGCGGCGAGCCGGATGCATTGTTGGGCTTGTTTTGCAGAAAGTGAAAGCAAACTCCGCCTGCCGTGCCAGCATGACGCGCACTGTACTGCGCCTACCATGCTGCAGTACTGTATGTGCTCGAAGGCCGCTGGCTTTAAGGCTCTGATGCTGTTTTGTACAATACCGTCCACCCCCCAAGCAGTTTTATTAAGGCTTTCCGTGTCGCATTTTAACACCGAAGCACTACTTGCGTGACCTGTGCGCAAGAATGGCTGCAGCTGGATGATGAATGGTTAGGGACCTTGTTTGCTTGGCATGAGTATGGGTCGGGCGCCGTTTTGTCTCTTTACTCTTGTCGCCGGCATTTTATCGTAGGTCGACCCAGCTCTCCCGCCTCTTCCCCCGAACCCCCCAACTCCCATCCCCCTCAACAAAAGGCAGCTTCGTTGGAGGAAAAGTAAATTAGCCAGCATGCAGACAGTAATACATAAGATGGCATCCTTCTCGCTGCTATGCAAATGATTGTTTCGCGCGTGGCGCCGTCATTCAAAATGTCAGTTTGGTCAGTTTGTGATAGTGAAAAGGACACTTTCTATAAAACTATTGACAACGGTGTCTTTTTTCATGCTGAATACTCTGCTTGTGTGCTACGTCTTTGACAAGTTGGTGTTGGGTTGCGCATTGCGGTCACAAATCGTATAATTTTAGTTTTACATTTCATGTAACACTTCAGTCTCAGTGTTTCTTTTATTTATGTAGTGAATTAGGTGTAATCGCGATACCAGCAAACCCATGCCTGTATCACTGTCATCGTTGGACAAAAGCAATGCAAAGCACCTATATGTTTTAAACGACGCATCCACTAGTCTTGCCGTTCGTAACGTGTTAATTGCTAGCGTTCGTTCCGGGCGTGACCACAATTGTCTCTGGCGCAGGAGGTACTCGTTTCACACGGGTTGCCACTGCACCGCGCCTGCTGCTTGCACCGCCCGGTAACGCCGGCGGCGGCCGCCTGTGACGGCGTGGCCGACGGCCGATGTCGCCGACTGACGCGTCGGCTGTTGTTGCAGCGTCGCCGGCGGCGGCCGACACCGAGCCCGCGCCGCCCGCCCTGGCGGCGGACCCCACAGCGCTGGGCGGCGCCCCCTCGCCGGAGCCGCTGCTGGACGGTAACGTGTCGGTGCCGCGCGCGCTGATGGACGGTAACGTTGCGGTGCCGCAGGCGCGGCCGCCGCTGGCCGGCCGCATCCGGCTGAATCTGGCGGGCGTGGCGCCTGAGCCCGAGCCGGAGGGGCCCGTGTTCGCGGAGCGGCCGCAGCCGGCGGCCGTCAAGCCGGCGCTGATAGGTCGCCAGCTGACCGAGGTGCCCACCAAACACAGGGGCGACGAGGAGTCGGGCATGTGCGTAGTCATGTGAGCTGCCGGCCTGCTGTGTGCGTGGGGAGTTGGAGGCCGTGCGCAGCTGTGATAGGCCGGGGCCGCGTGAGCCGCCCGGGGACGGCACGGGCGCGCGAGCCGGGTCCGCTCCGAGTGCCTCCGTCAGCGAGTGCAGCCACTGTTGTTTTAGCTGTGCCTTGTTGTGTTATCGCGAAAAATTATTTTTACAACTTGCGTTTGTCTCCTCCATCATGACGCGCTATAATAAGGAAACGACGAGAGTCGGGCGAACACAGATGGCGGGACGGGCGGGGCCGGCCCCGCGGCCCAGCGGCACCAGACGCTCCGGGCGGCGGGGCGAGCGCCAAGGGCGGCCGCTCGGGTCCGGTCCGCAGCACGACGACGGCCGGTCTGGCCTGGTTTTGGACGCTTGGACGGCGGGGACACTTCTCTGCCGTCGAGGCCGACCGACATAGCTCGTTGGACCGAGGTGCGGTGCTGAGGTGGCCCGATGACCTCAGAGTGAGGCGGCGGCGCGCCCGAGCTGACTGCATCGGACAGAAAGGTGTGGGGCCGGGGCTGGTGTTCATTTGGCTGGCGCTACTGGTGCCGGCAGATGTAATATACTTTCCAGCATCTCACCGAGTGTTTTATTATGGAGGGAGAGTACAGACGGCCATCATAGACGCAACAGGAGGAATGGTGTCGTAATGGTGTCTATGCCGAATTATCATAGCTTCGCTCGCCTTTGTCACGTTTAACGTACAAGACGGATGTTGTACAAACATCATCTCAACATCGTTATGTTTTAATTGCTCTCCAGGTTGTGAACATTCTGCTCGATCGTCGCTTTTTCAATAAGTTCTCGCGCATTTGCCATCGTAAATACATCAGGAAGAAAACAGTTGAAAGGAACAACAAAAAAAACAAAATAGTAACAGGTGGTTGGCATACGGTGCTACCACGCAGCGGGCGCTCGTCACGCGCCACCGCTCAGGACTGCCGACTCCCGTACTTTCACAGGGAAGGTGAGCACAGCTCGGAATGTGGCCCTGCGGGCCCTTTCCCTGTGCGCAGCGTGGCAGCTGCAAAAATTGCTCGGCGGCACCACACGTAACACAATAAGGCAATGGCATGCTAAGACAAAAATATTGATGGACGAGATACAGCGAGATATAGCGAGATAGGTACAATGCCCTGCACACTGCCGTATAGCATGGTTGATTGCAAATAACTGAATTTTGGGCCAGTTCAATTCGTCCAGGATAGGGTAATTAATGTCGACCGCATTGACCGAAAAGCTTTACTTTTCCACATGACCACAGCACTTCGAGCAAATAAACCGTTGTGAAAACGGCCCTGACTAACGACGGGATGACATCCATTACGCTACGGCAAGAATCGCGTCCTGTTCAACACCCCGACGGAACACTTGCGGAGCGAAGCACGCGAGCGCTGAGGCACTTTTGGCTGTCGCAATCACCGCAACGGCCGCTTTCGCATACCCTGTACCACAGCAAGATAATCACCGTGTCGCCGGCACCGGCGACTTTGTCCTTGGCACCATCTCTTCCGCTCTGTAGATGAGAGTAGTAGCAATGCCGGCCGACAGGAAGCCGAAAAGGCCCCCAATCATCACATATAGATGCGGCATGCCGTACATGTCCACCAGCCAGCCGAGGGTCAGCGACGGCAGGATCGACCCCAGGCAATAAGATGTGTCTAAGATGGCGAAGTTTTCACCCAGACCGGCGGCTTCTCGGGGTGCAGGCTGGTCGCTGAAGAAAATCTGTAAACAGTGTTCGGACTAGAGTTCTGTCCAGAGTCCGAACCGGACCCTCTCAAGTCTGACATGAAACACCGACCGTTTATCAGTGAGTCTGTTATGGAACATTGACCTTAGCGTGGGCAATAAGCATTCCTCGGGGGAGGGCCGACGCAGCATTCCTCGGGGGAGGGCCGACGCAGCGATCTGAGCCGTGGGTGGCAGGCGGTCTGGCGTTAATAAGACCTCCAATAGACTCAGAACTTCCGCAAGCCTCAGCGACCCTTCTGAGTCTCTGCCATGACAACCTCCCAGACAGGTTATCTGCATCCCTAGAAATGCAGTCAATGCATGGCTTGCCTGCGGCTGGTAGTGATACAGAGTCAGTAGGGAGCTGGGCGTGGTGCCCATGACGCTGTAGCCGCAGCCCATGACAGCGCACAGTACGTAGATGAGCGGCGGCGAGGGCGCCAGCGATATCACCACCATGCAACTGCTGAACACCGTCAGACAGAGGACGTAGGTGTTGCGCGTGCCCAGGCGGCGGGTCATCGGCATCAGACCGAACAAGCTGAACAGCCCACCTGAGAGACGTCAGAGAGAACAGGGTGAACAACCCACCGGGAGAAACGTGGGGGAACACGGTGAACACATCGCCGGGAGAAGGAGAAGTATGAGGGAACAGGGTGAATACCCCACAGGGAGAAAGAAAAACATGAGGGAACAGCATGAACACCCAACCCGGAGAAACATGAGGAAACAGAGTGAACGTCCCATCGAGAGAAGGAGAAACGTGAGGGAACAGGGTAAACACTTCACCGGAAGGAGAAACATGAGGGGGCAGGGTGAACACTTCACCGGAAAAAACACGAGAGAACAGCGTGAGCAGCTTACCCGGAGAAACGCCACAGAACTAGATGAACAACCCGCCTGAAAAGACATCAGACAGAACAGGCCGCGTATGCGGCCCGGACGGTATGGGATAGGCTGCCGTCTTGCACGTCACTGCGAATTGCAACGCTCCAAGGTGCGGTAGTCTGCAGGGATTTGAGTCCGGACTCCCACGTGGGCCCCAATATGACCGCCAGCCCTAATGTAATTCCTGAGCCTGAGGTGCCTGAGATATCCTGGGCTCTGATGTGCCCTCTGCAGTCGTTCGCGCGCCATAAAAGGCGTGCGTGCATCCAACGAAGTACGTCGCGTTTCTATTTCAAGCTTCCTCAAACGCAAATTTTTGACCTGTGCCATTTAAGTGAGCAGCACGTTTACGTACAGGTTGGAGGCGCTTCCTGGATCTGGAGGAAGTGCTTGCTGGGCTGGATCTGTGACTATGTGACATGATCGCCGCCTGCGTGTGATCGGAGCGAAGAGGCCGCACTTGACCCGCCTTGCGACATGCCTGCCAATCTTACCGGAGACGCCGTCGATCATCAGACATTTGGAGCCCATGCGGACACCTTCGTCGAACTTGGCTCTCCCCTCGGAGCCGTCTGGGTCCTCGGCCCGGCCGCCGGCCGCCTGGGGGACGGCACGCCGAGGTGAGCCACAGCCCCCAGGTGCGGCGCGCGGCCTCTCACAGCTCAGCCTGTGCCCTCACCACCGCACTACCATCCCGATACAACCAGATATGGCCGGGGCGCTGAGCATGATAACGACAACCTGCGCCGCTGTGATGTCAACTTCTATGATCGGGGGAGGCATGAGCCCCTTAGTCCCTTACTCTTGGCACGCCCCTCTCTTAGGTCATCTATGTTTCACTGATAATTTATACGCGCGCGATTTTCGAGGTGGCCTTACTTTAGTAGCACGTCGCACCGCGTTACGTGTCACTTCCCATTAAACTTGCAAAGCATGGAATGAGCAGGCAACTATTAGACCAGCTGGCAGTTTAAATATCCGTTGGGACTTGCCGCCTGCATTACTCCACAAACAGCATACTTAATAAACATAGCACAATAACTCGCAGAATTCAGTTTTCGCCTCACAGAATCTACGTGATCTTTTAACGGGGCAAGGAACCAGTTCGTGGGGGAAACCTTGTTCCAGACATGTGGTAGCATTGTAGCGGGTAACATACCTGCCCGAGATAGTCAGTCAGGAACATGTAGAAAGAAAGAAGTGCCATCCATGACAGAAGATCGACGATAAACAGCCTCCTAAGCACCATCGGAGACCGGTGTATTCGTCGGAAGATGGAGTATGGCCACAGGATAACCTGCCGGCCACAGACGCTGCTGTTATTAGCCACTAATGAGGTTTTTCGCTGAATCTCCCGACCCACGCACGGATCACTAGATCGCCGTTAGTGATCAGGGTAACCTAGAACACTTTCATGGCACCATGGCACAAATGATTTGTTCTTAGGAATTCGGAAGGAACGATAAAAGAACGCGCAGTAGACGCATACACACAAAGACAGAGCTCATCTCAAAACTGGTCATTTGTCCCAAGTATCTGGCTGTCATTGCTGGAATTTGGGAGGGCTCCACGTGACGTAGAAAATGTTACAGCTAAAAAACTCAGTCGGCTAGAACGTTGAAGTACGATCTCATGAAAATACAACTTCCATTAAGATGCCAGCAACGCAGAGATTTTCAGATGGCAGAGGCTTTTCACATGGTTCCATGCATATTTAATCCACGGATCAGGTGCAATTTCGCATTTCAGCAGATCTTCGGACGAGGGAGGACGATGGCTGAGATAACAGTGGAGTTCTGCTGCATTCACAGCTCGTCTGCGGGCGAACGAAAACACGAGCCGGCGGGGTAGTCAACTAATGACTGACATCGACTGATTCCATAGAAACATCGCATGGTTAGGGACCCGGGACTGACGGAATCATGGACCCCGGGTCCAGGGTGTGCGACGGGGGAACGCAGTCGCCACTGCGTGCAGGATTTGGGACAGGGAACCAGCTGTCCCTGTGTACAGCGTGTGAGACGGGAGCTAGCTGTTCCTGGGTGATGGGTACTGAGAGGGAGACCATCTGTCCGGGGGTCAGCTGTTCCTGTATGACGGGTATGAGGTGGGAGCCAGCTGTCCCTGTGTGCAGCGTGTGAGACGGGAGCTAGCTGTTCCTGGGTGATGGGTATGAGAGGGAGACCATCTGTCCGGGGGTCAGCTGTTCCTGTATGACGGGTATGAGGTGGGGGCCAGCTAGTCCCTGTGTACAGCGTGTGAAACGGGGACCGGCTGCCTTTGTGTACAGGGTGTGAAACGGGGACCGGCTGCACCTGTGTACAGCGTGTGGAACGGGGACCGGCTGGCTCTGTGTACAGGGTATGAAACGGGGACCAGCTGTCCCTGTGTGCAGGGTGTGAAACGGGGACCGGCTGCACCTGTGTACAGCGTGTGAAACGGGGACCGGCTGCACCTGTGTACAGCATGTGAGACGGTGAACAGGCTGACCCGGCAGAGGGCAGTGAGCGGCGTCAGAAGCAGAAGTCGGGCCATCCGGTCGCTGGCGGCTGCCAAGCCGGTTCGGTCCGTCCAGCAGGCCGTGCTGAGCCCGTCCCGCAGCGACAGCAGGTGCCACGCCGTCTGGTGCCGCCACTTGGTCGTCGGCGAGCTGTGCCTTGACGAGTCGCTGCCGTACCTGGCAACGGCGGGTTAAACGTCGCCCGCCCGTTGGTGTTGTTTATTTCCGATCATGCACATGCTATAACACATGATGTGATGAGTGGATTCACGCAGATGCGGAACGCTTAAATCTTGGCGGCTCTCCTAACACAAGGCAACGCCAACAAACCCACGAGCGATGGCTTATTGGTCCGTTCTGACAGGTGAGCCGGACCTCGCGCCCTCCGCCTCCCTGGCTCACACTTACAGCCGTCCCTGGCCGGCGGCGGACTCCCGGCCCCATAACGCCGCTCAGCCACCGTTCAGCCGGCCGTACCCGTTGGAAGTTCCTCGGCGAATCGTTTGGTTTGAAGAATAAATGTCTGTGTGAATCGTTACCCCTGAGATAAATATTCAGTTGTTGGTCTTGACTGAGCTTACAAAAGCTTGGGATGATGATGCGTTCTATTTTACGCGGCATTGGAATTCTGGCCAGATGATAGAGATGATAGTTCAATGTAGTGTTTTGGATCTCCATATGGATAACCGCACAAAAAGTGTGTTCTTGAATTTTGCATTTCCAACATACGAGCATTGAGGTTTGGTATTCCCATGTTCAGCCTAGTATTTCAGGTGTTTCCAAGCCTACATCCAAAGCTGTGATACATTGGAGGTGCAGATGAATCGCGGCGCTGGTGCATTGCCGTTCGGACGAGAAAGTTGGAGGAATGCCACGTCGAGCGGGAGTGCTATTCCGTCTTCTCGTGGTTGATGGCATGTAGGAGTTTTAGCATGTGATTTTGTTCGTGAGCGTTACTGCGTTGCGGACGTTCTGTCGTGTTCTTTCGAGGTTGTCATAAACTACGTCACAAGAGTCAGCCAAAGGAGGAGTGCACACCGTGTATATGTCGTGAACAGCGTCGCGGCAGAAGGGCGAGAGTGAGTGGAGAGGGCTACGGGCTCCATTGATTTTGCAGACAGTGTCATCAACGTCCTGGTTAAAGTGCAAGTCGGTAGATATCGCCAGGCCCGAGTGTTCGTGACTTGTAACGAAAGGGGTCCGCTGGCCGACGAAGGCCAGTTTCCGTGGGTTGTCTGTATTTCTGTTGGTGAATGTTTGTTGAGTTGTTCTTGTGGTGTTGCACGTGACGAGCCAGTCTTTGCCGAACTTTTGTATGCTGTGTAAGTCGCGTTGGCATGACGCTTTGTGTGGATAATGGGTCGGTGACTGTGCTTTGTATAGTGTATGGTTATCAGCAAAAACAATATATCGTTGTCGATGTTGTCGGCGAACTCATTGAGCGACTGTCGTTGCAGTTGTTGAAAAAAATAAGGTAAGGGAGAGGATCTAGAACCGATTTCTGCTGAGCGTTCAGCATGTATTGTCTCCTAGGAATGCTAAAACTGTTGTCTTCCTTGACTATCTACACAAGGTCCGAAATATATCATTCCAGCCAATTTAGTAGAGCTCACGAGAGACCACAATAATTATTGAATTTGAGCAGAAGACCCTTATACCATATCGTCCCAAAGTTTACCCTAAGGAGATGTCCAGGCAGATAGCTGCATGGTCCTGCAGCCTTGGCCCAAGGCTGCAAAAGATCATTCATGAAAAATTAAAGCTGAATACGTGTGCTATGTTTTGGTCGTAATTCACTTGCTCTTCTGACAGCAGTCGATCCTCAAGTAAGCGTTGACACTGTAGGACCTGCTTTTAAACACAATTCTTTCGAGAATTTCTGATACACAAGACAGTAAACTGGTTGGTCTGTAGTTGAAAGGATCCGAGCTTGACCTCTTGCTTTTGGAAATAGGATAAACCTTTGCTTGTTTCCAGGTAGAAAGAGATGCCTCGGCTTAGTGTCATATGTTGTGCTCTCGAGAGACAGCAATCGAGCAGAGGTGTCCTCACACAGAGTCGATGAGGGCGACTGTGCCTCAAAGTTAGGCACGCACGCAACATAACATCACTCTCCGCTCGCTAACCAAAAGGAGAGTTTTACCGGGCCCTGGTACCCCTGGCCCGGCGGTCGACCGGCGCATCGGGCAACGGGCCGCACGGCGCCGGGCGGCGGCCCAGCGGCTGCCGGTGCGTCCCAGCGGCCAGCCGGGCAGCGACACATCACTCATGTTTAACAGCTTAGCAAGTGGAGTTTTTTTACCAAAGTGGCAGTCATCTATAATACTTTTGTTGCGAGATTGTCAGGACCGCACAACATGTTTGAATCAAGAGAGCTGAGTGCCCTCAGCACTTCGTCCTCGGTAACGGCTAGGCCATGTAAGGTGGGTGGTGGATCCACAGAGACGGTCTCAACGACAGGGCAGTCGTCAGTTGAGCTGCCATGGCTTGGCAAAAGGCCACCTAGTAAATTGGCTTATCTAATACTTCTGCCAATTGCATTGCGTCGAGCCCTAGGAGCGCTGATATTCTTGGTCCGTATACGTCCCATCATCTGTCACGAACGCCATGGCACTCGTGTCGGGCCGATGCGGCAATCGCGGTACCGCGGAAACAGGCCGTGCATAGCTGCAGCTCATCTCGATGTTTGACACTATGATCATTATCTCCCTGTGTTCAATGTTATGATGGGCCCAGGCATCGTTGTCCTTCTTCTCCCTGGAAAAGGTGAACGGCACTTTTGCTCCAGGTCAACTAGCCGTCCCGCCTGTTTGACACGAAAAACGGACGCGGGGGTCAGCGCTATCGGCCACTGGGCATTAAATACACCTGCATAATCAATTTATCCCCCGAATCGGTGGCTACAGGGATACAATATGCCGCTACCTACCCTGCCCCACTATACGCCTGCGCGAATCCCAGCTTGGCAATAACTTTCGGATCGTCAGTGCTTAATACAATCCGTATTACGCATGAGGCAAAGCCATGGAACAATTGGAACGAACCTCCACACGTCACAGCCAGTGTGAACGCACTGGAACACTGGCACAACAGACATTAACCACAGACCGCTTATGACACAGACATTAACCACAGACCGCTTAGTTTCAGATAGCATCGTGTCTAGTGCTTTTGATGTACCAAGTCACAAATTGTACAACAAAGTTCCTAGAAGTCATGTTTATGACCCGTAAAATGACCAATATGCATCACGCTTACAGCAAAACAAAAACACAAACAAAACAAAACAGCGGGAACCCGCGTAAACATGAGACAGTCGGTGTTCACGAGTCCGTCTGCTTTGCCACACAAGCCACGCTGCTGGTGATCCATGAGAGTTTCAGCAGTGTGGGCATGCGGCGTCGCCCTGGACACGCACCCGACATCCTCGAGCAGCGGCGAGACGGCCGCGTCGGCATCGGGACCGACCGTCGACCGAGCGGCCAGCTCCCGGGTGGTGAGTAGGGTGACGGCGGTCAGCGCGCTGACCAGCACGGCGATCAGACCAAACGTGGCCCGCTGGGAGACCAGCAGCGATCCTGAACAATCGGATGCATCAGCACCGGCATCGATTCGCGACTATGTGTCGGCGACGATAAGAAGTCAGGTGCAAGTAAGCAAGTACGGATACCCATCGGCAATATGCCCGAGTCCTAGAACAAACGCATTACTCATTCAGAAAGACAGAAGTAAGCTTGAATTACACCAGAGACGTGATGTGGAATCGCATGGCGAGAGATGCCTGCGCAATACTCTCTACCGAAAGGTCCGGGGCAAAGTTACTCGCTCCACCAGCCCAGCGCCAATCGAAAGGTAACATCAAGAGTGACCTCACCTATGACAGACCCCCGGGCCCAATTTTCCCGTCCCTACATTCTCATCGCTACTTCCCGCCCCCTCATTGACTCCTCATTCCCTCGCTGTTACCGTGGTGTAACGTCGTCAATGCTTGCTGTTACCGTGGTGCAACGTTGTCAACGCAGCAGTGTCATGAGCTCGGTATATGGCATGCTCTGTAGTGTACTTTGTAACGTGTGTAACTTTAACATGCAGCTGTAACGTGCCCTGCCACGGCCACACAACACGAAAAACACTTACCAGAGAACCAGCTCCAGGAGAAAAGCAGGTTGCTTAGGACCGAGCCAACGTTGACCATGAGCGCAAATACGGAGAATCCCTCTGCGGGCGTCCTGCTCCGAAGGGCACAGGTCTGAGATGAGCGCTTGGTACGGATTGAAGAACACTTGCGCAGTGAAGGTGGAGAGCACAACACTCAGCGTTAAGATGACCCTGGCGAAACAAAGCGACCGCTAGTAACAATGTCCTGCGGCGTGGGATGAGCGAAGTGATAACGTACGTGATTTTAACCAGCATACAGATCGTGCATACAGATGATGCCTTAAAACAAAAGGATAAATGGAACCTGCCGCTTACAGGATCTTTGCCTTTGGGACAAATCCCAACACAATATGGCATAGGCATAATGGGTTTCAGTCCTTCTACCCTGGTCTTGTAAGGTCATGAGCGGTCGCCCAAATCAAACACCCGGATAACTTTACCTGGTTGTGTGGGCTTGGTGTGGACGCAACATACACCAGAGCGTTTTACATGCGGAGAGACAGCGTGCTCAGATAAAGACTCGATTTCAACTCGTATTCTTCACCCTTTGCCCAGTTTTCATGCTTTCTTTTTCCATTCCTGATCAAACAGCTTGGGGACGGACACCTTGTAAATATTACCGCATATCCTTTAAATTATCAGGTTCCCCTGTTGCAGGTAATTGCATCCCTTTTCTATGAGTGGTCATACGTCCGTCCAGAGCACGGCTGCCGGACAAGCCGGTATGGGCGACCGAAGAAATCAATTTTCCCGTTAAGGGGAATGCTCACTTTTGAAGATATTGAAGCAAATATTAAATATGATGAAATGAGCTTGTTTGCAACTATTGACATGCTTTTAAGTGGAAAAGGTTGCTCTACGCAACACAATTTCTCTGCTTAGCAAATGTGTTGCTAAATACGTCATTGTTTGATTGCGTCATGGCACTTTGCACAACACTGATTGAGAGCCAACTGGCGGCTGTTATACCAGGAAATTGTGCTCACGAATACCAGATATGAAGGCACGACAAGCATGTTTTTGCTTGAACTCGATTGCCGCATGACCAGTGGAATGGCAAGATTTGAAGGACGTTATTATGGTGTCATGAATACTGGGTGACCTTGAAAAAGTCTCCGAAAAAGCCTGCAGATTTTCGCAGGCGTGTATCTCAGAAACTACAGGGATTTAGGTCTTAAGAACGACAGGGCTGTAAACTGCACCGAAGGATCTTCAAGATGGATATTTCTGCGCAAAACCCGATGCGAATGTAGAACACTTCCTGTAATGAAGAAGCATGCTATTTCCCTTTCGTGGAAGCAACATATTTTTTTCTTGCTGTCTGCGTAGCTAAACAGATCACACGAGGCTGTGTGCCAGAAAGAAAGAAGAAATGTTGTATTTCTGGTTGGAAGACATTGCCAGACATGTGTCTGAGTTTCATTTCACAGCGCAGAAATTGCGTTATAAAGTCGCGGTAACATATAGTCCGCCATCTCGTCTGCATAAACCCGTCCAATTGCCGCCAGGTGGAACCATGGCTATATCTAATCGCATTCCTAAAAAAAAATGATTCATCATAATACAAATAGTCCCAGCGATCAGCCTTAGTGAATGTCTTACACACTTGGGATGGCAGCATAGTTGCAGTAATCTGCATGCCTAAGTTGTTAAATGCAATTGCGAGGAACATTATGCACAAAAACAGCAGGAACAGCCTTATTCCTCGGAGAAACACCAGGAGAATGCGTATACAGATGCGTTGATATGTCGGCAACATGCCTTTATCGAACCGAGTAGCAGAAGTGTATTCAAAATTGCCTGCCGATGATCTTACTTGACTTCAGGTTTTCTTTGAAACCGCGAGCCGCGGTTTTTAGAGAACATCAGCATTCATAGGATTACACAAAGAGCAACTGCCAGCTATTACTACGATACAACACACATGTAATTAAGAATTTGAATTCGCAAGAAATACGTGTACATGCAAACGAATTAAAGCAAACATGTATTACGATTCACGCTTCATTCAAACATGCGGACGCGCTCAAGTAAACAAGCATCACGCATCACGCATCTATTATCCATGCAAACGATTTCAATTACACAGGCATTGCAGCATCACACGTTTGGCATCACATATACATTTTAACGGTTTTAAGCTAGCAGGCATCACACTTCACGGCGCATATTACGCTCGCATAATCGGCCATGATGAGCCCTGTACGTTACGGATTGGTCGCCTGGTCTTTATACGAATAGATTCACGTATTTTCCTGTCTGGGTGGTCCTGTTTTCTGTAGATGACTTCGAGTTCTGAAAGGGGCATAGCGTCCATACCTCCCTGAATCTCAGCCTGAGCCTGTTTTCCTCTTTCGGTGACCATTTTTGGGGGCAAAGCACGCATATGATGAAATCCAGGGAAGCTTGGATCCTATGCCCCTTTCAGGGCTCAGCCATCTACAGAGCACAGGAACACCCAGACAGGATTATAAAAGTCGGCGACCAAACCTCAACGTACAGGGCTCATCATGGCAGATTACGTGAAAGTGATATGTGCCTTGGTGTGTGATGTGTGCTGGTTTATAACCGATTATATGCATCAGTAGTGTAAGACGCGTGATGAGTAATCCCCGCTAAATTGAAATCGTTTACATGTATGATTGATGCGTGATGTGTGACGCCTGGTTACTTGCATTCGCTCGCATGTTTGAATGATGCGTAATGTGTGATGCCCTTTTACTTTATTTACTTTAATACTTTAATACTTGATACTTTAATTTACTTTAATTCGTTTGCATGCACACTTTTTTGCGCATTCTTACTGTAAGTTTGATATGCACCGTATCGCAGTAATGGCTGGCTGCTGCTCATTGTATAACCCACTGAATATTCGTGTCCTGTAAAAACCGTGGCTCGCTGCTTTAAAAAAAAAAACTGAAAATCAAGAATGATCACCGGCAGGCAGTTTTGAATTCACTTCTGCTATTCGTTTCGATAAAGACATGTTGCTGAAATGTCAACGCATTTATAGTTCCATTCGCCTGGCTTTTCTCCGAGCAATAAGGCCGTTATTACCGTCTTATGTAATCTGCATACGGGTCCCCATAACCTCATTTCAAAGAGATGCACCTGGCATATAGCCCATGTAATTAAAGGAACAACACACCAACTCCAAAAGTGGCTTCCTGCGCACGGACATGGAGTGATGAAAGGATAAGGGTGTATAATTATAATATGATAACCGCTGTCGCAAAGCCAAGGGTGGACGAGGCATACTTTTTGTCAATGTGCCCAATCATTCTGTCACTTAGTTAATATCTTGCAAACGTTACAAGAAATCAGAAACCAAAGTGTTTTGCACGTCATCTGATTGATTTCAAGCATTTCTAAGGCATCAAATTGTTCGTGGCATGGTCTATTTACTAAAAGATAGTCGCATTGATAGCATCCTTATCGCCATTCGCGTAGCATAAACCACGATCAAGATTTACGCGAATTGCTTTCTCCTGTAAAGACATCAGCACTGTCGGCCCTGACCTGGACATCGGCATGGTCGACCAAGCCATGTGATACAGCTTATCGGATGATATAAATCGGCCATTTCGTGCCGTCCCTTATTGACTCAGGCCCTGCGTGCTCGCGCTTCGCTATTTACATGTTCCTGTACTAGCTGTTTTCAACCCGCATACGGTTTATAGTACAATGCAACATCAGCCTGCTGACAAGCCACAATTACTAACCTCGCATGGATGACAACATCTTCCAGGATATGTTTTGTTGTGTATAGATTCTAACACTATGAAAACACGGTTTGTTCCTCTTCTCTCGCCGCCCGAAAGGGCCGAACGTACAAGGATGGTCCCTAAAATAGCCACGACTTTACCAATGTCGGGCAGCAATATCTGATCGCTGTATGCCACCCCCTCCCTCCCTTAAATGTCAAACGGGTTGGGTGTTGTACATACCAAACCGGGTGGTGTTGAACGGGCGGTCACTGTCGCAACCTACCTCTTTAAAGGGAGTAGACCACCTTTTCTGTACTTTTCACTTCTTGTTAGATCAGACGCGTCCGATTTGATTGGAAGTACCAGTTTTCCTCGAAAGCCTTCTGAATAGATCATAATTTTGATTTGAAGTAGCCGCTGCTGCGGGAGGAAGCTCATTGGACTTCTTGCTCAACACTGTGAAAGTAATACATTGAATTTGCTTTGTGTCTTCCAACGCCTGTGTTCTGTAATGAGTGCAACAGTGGTCAAAATGATTGTGTAATAAAGGGTACAAAGCTTGGAACACTCATGACAACATGAAGTTTTCATCCCGGTGGATTCAACGAGACGTTATACCGTGGCTTTGAATTCCCCCCATGGCGTTTAGTAGTGGCTCTTTTCGAACGCACTTTGGCTTTGGGGGAAGCGGAGTATCACGCGGGTCTACAGTGACATGGTGATTTAAACTTCAACCAATGCGCATCTGGGTAGCAGGCCTTTGTCGCCCGCGTGCCAATCACAAACGATTATTTGAACTGACATTATTCGTACCAAAAGTGCGATTTCATAGGTTCGACCAGGCTTCGACGTGATTCGTACCAGTAAGGCTGCAACTTCTAAGCACGCTGGCCCTTAGTGTTCGCTAAAACAGCTCAAGAGCGGTAAATGTAACCCGTAACAGCTGAAAACGGTCCTCAGATGATTTTACAGTTATCATGAAGACGGCAGTCGTGACAGCGGCACTTGCGGCGGACTCTTGTTACATTTTGGGCACACCAAGCAAGAAATATGGGTACTGCTGTAAAAAAGTGAATAGTGTACATTGGACACGACAAGTATTAAAATGGACATGCTTATTACACCTTGATAGTGCTGCAGTGGCACTACCCATTGCTATTATTAGCCGGGAATGGTCATGAGGCTTCACCAGTTTTTTTTTCTTTACGTATACATCAAAGATAGGATGCTCCCTTTAACCCTTGCCTACTGGTATTTTTGCAGTGAGTTAGAATCGCTTTTGAACTTGGGTGAGGGCAAAAAATTCCATCGCAAAAGATTGTATGGTAATGAAAAATTTCATGCACAAAAGTTGGATCTTATGAATCAGTGAGAGATGCTCCAGCAAACAAAGACGTACATTTCAAGCTGGCATGGACGTCATGTCATAAATATCACAAAACCGTTTTTGTTTTTTAACATCTTAGGTATTACAGTGGAACGGAATACATTAAACAATAGTTATTTCATATCAGTGTGATGAGTATCAAAAACTATGCAGCACTAATGTTTTGATTCTGCACCATGCCCTTCCCTTTCACAGGACTTTTTAACGCGAAACAAAGCAAGGGAATTTAACAACAAAAACAAAAACAACAAATTCAATCAGCGACTTTTTAAGCAACAAAAACAAAAACAACAAATTCAATCAGCGTAAAATATTCAAGCAAAAAAGCTTGGAATCCTGCGCATTAACACATTACCAAATCAAACACAGCAGACATGCCTCTGGCTTCTGTTAAAATGGGGATCAGGAAACACGAATATTATGTCACTGTTTCTTGCAAAATACCGATGCTTATTTACATGGAAGAAACCTGACTAAGCCTTACCTAAAGAAGCCTTGCCTCATCTCATCCTGTCTAACCTGTGAGTCGCTGATTCTTGCAAAATTCCTACTACCATTTGCCTTGCAATTAACCAGCTTAACCTAACTTAGAGTAGCCCATATGTTGAACACTGCCCACCTCACCTATGATTTATTGATAGCAGCAGTTGTGATGAGAACATCATAAAGCTTACATCTGGCTGTTTTCAACTTGCGTTTTGGTTCAATTTATCTGCGTCAGCTTGTTGACACCAAACAAAATTGAAAACACACAAATCAAAACCCTCAAATCACTGAACAACTCATTCTGATTGTCATGGTTATCCTCTGTCCAGGTCAATAGTAGATATGCACCACAAAACAATCTCTCTTCTCCAAATGTAACATGAATTATAGATGGCCACAAACCAATTTTGCTGCTTGCATTTTCAGCTGCAGTAAAGGCATCCATTTAATTTTGGTTATTCATATTTAATTATTTAAAAAGCTTGAGACGCCAACTTTACATTTTAAATGGGATGGTCTATTTGCTGAGAACCGATTTTCTCCAAGGAAACATGAAAGCCTATGATGATTGTTCACATTGAGGCAATGGAAGGGTCCTGTGCCAGTCAGGGACCCCAGAACCGAACGGTGGGTCCTCCAACCAAATGCCAGCATGGGCCCGTTAAGCCGAACTGGAGTTGATGTGCCAATTATTGGACGATCAGCGGGGATCAGGGATGCTGTTGCGTCAATGAGTGTCACTGCGCCTACCCGAGGTCAACTGCGGTCTGCGCGGGTCAGAAGGCCTACCGCGTCAGGGAGGGGACCAATATTATATGATGTGTTCCTCTAAGGACTTCTGGATCGGACAGGGTATCCCGCCCCTTGTCGCCAGAATGGCGGCCAGAAGACACCCCGAGATGGGACGGAATGATCCTTTGGCCCTTGACCGGAAAAAGTAATATGCTCCCTAGAGTTCTTCTCAAGTGGCCTCATTTTTGTTAAATCAAGTGGGTCAAATTCAGCCTAAAAACGAATGAGGTCACCTTTTGTTTGCCTAAAGCCGTTCATTCTTTTAACAGTGATGTTTGGTCGTTTCGACTAGAGTCCTTTCGACCAGAAATGATCATTTCAGGGCTATGGGATGAAGGAAAATGGTTAACGGTGGGACAGACATGCATGCGTCTGGGAGGAGGGGGGGGGGGGGGGGGAACTGCCGAGCTTTAACCCACGCATGTGCGCTGGGTACCCGGTCGGGATCCCCTTTCCCATGAGGCTCTATGTTCACTCGTGGCTGACGCGTGCAGCCTGCCTCGGACAAGCAGGAGGTCGCGAAGATGCAGGATAAAGCGAGATAAAGGATAAGAGGGGGGGTCGGATAACAGTGATGTCCTTAGGACTGACTCGGACTGTGCCTTGAACAATGTTTATCTGTGAGACAAATACTGAACGTAAACACTCTGAGCGCCAAAGGTCAAGTGATGCAGCGATCAGCGGGACCGGGCGCTGATTCTCTATCATTGCTTTGTTACGTGTAGCATAACAACTGTGTTGGTCGTGGAAGACAAATGCACGCTGTGCTCTCGGTGGTTGCTGTACAAGTGTTCATTCCGTGCATAGTACGAGTGTTTTTGTTTAATGCCAGCATGCTGGGTTGTGGCAAGAGCGAGGGATGCGGTGTGCTAGCTTATGACAAATATATCTCGAGCCTGAATGGGCGTGGCGCAAGGGGGCCGTTCCAGTTTATATATAATTTTCGTGGCGTCCATCCGTCTGCTTGGCATAAACACGGACACGGCTGGGTGCCGGCACCATATGGTCGGCTGGGTGCCGGCACCAGATGGCCAGCTGGGTGCCGACCAGATGGTCGGCTGGGTGCCGGTACCAGATGGCCAGCTCGGTTCCGGCACCAGATGGCTGGCTGGGTGTTGGCACCAGATGGTCGGCTGGGTGCCGGCACCAGATGACCAGCTGGGTCCCGACCAGATGGTCGGCTGGGTGCCGGCACCAGATGGCCGGCTGGGTTCTGGCACCAGATGGCCGGCTCGGTTCTGGCACCAGATGGCCGGCTGGGTGCTGGCACCAGATGGTCGGTTGGGTGCCGGTACCAGATGACCGGCTGAGTGCCGGCACCAGATGGCCGGCTGGGTGCTGGCACCAGATGGTCGGTTGGGTGCCGGAACCAGACGGCCGCCACATACTGGCGTAGGGTCGCATCACTGTGCTACGCTTGGGACAGGATCCGACCGGCGATGCGCCATCGGTGCGTGCAAATGTACGTCAATCCTTAACATGGGTTACGCGAAAATATGCAAGCCGCAAAAAATCGAAGGAATGCGTGTCGAAACCCAGTTCCTATCTCGGCATCGGGGCGGTCACAGCGAAACGCAAACAGCACACTTAAACTAGCCGGGTTTGACCAAGCGGCGTCTTATGTCGCGGTTTTCGAAGACGATCTCGCACATAATACATTGGCGCCTAAATCAAGCATGCTGTTGCCGCCAAATTGACTCGGCTGTTAGATCCAGTTGACGGTCATTAATATTCAACCGAAATAAGTGCGTATTTCGCTATCATCTGGTCGTAAGCGCTCAAAACATCCTGCATACGTCTTTGGGTACTGTCTGGGTCATTGGCAATATTCGGGCCTCCGGACACCAAAGTGGCAGTGACGCAACCAGTCACAGCTTCTATTTAAGGGATTATCTTACCTTGGGGCATGTTCCAAGAACCTACTCTGAAGGCACCTCAGGAGACGTGACGTGTAATAATAGCACTGGGTATTGCCACTGCAAAACCGACAAGGCATAAGGATATCGATTTGAATCATCTTTCAGTTCAAATTATGCTGGCAACGCTCTGTAACAGCAGTACGCTGCTTCCCTGCAGTCACCACCACCGTCAGTCATGACAACCACCGTGAGCACCTTTGCTGGTGTGAGTAAAAGAACGTTCGTGATTTTCTCAGCACGCAAAGGTTCAGGAAATGCATCAGTTGAAGTTTCAACCAATGCCTCACATGGGTGAGGTGATACTTCCTTTCCCAAAACAAAATGCGCTTTGAAAATAGCTACTGTTTTGAACGCCATGGGGGTAGAAATCAAAGCCATAGCATAACATATCGTACAATTCGCGGATTTTTAGCCTAATGGTCGCACATATTTTTGTGTAAACAGAATGTTTCAAGCTTTCGTAGCATCTATTACGCAAGCGTATTAGAAACTCAATGTGTTGCAAATATTAGAGAACACATGCGCAGGAAATTGCAGGGCCATGAAATGCATTACTTTCATAGTGGTGAGCAGAGAGTCCAACGGGATTTCTCCCGCAGGTGCGGCTGCTTCAGATCGAAATCTTGAGCAGTACGGAGGGACTTTGAGAAAACTGGCATCACTGATCAAATCGTACGTAATCGTACAAATCGCCTGATCTAACAATACGCAAACAGTACAAGGTGGGATCCTCCCTTTCAGACACGTAAGGCACTGCCGAACCAAATGTTCACTTCAGCTGCTTGTCGAAAGTAGTCATAACCTTGAATCGTGATAACACTTGGCATGTTATGGCACATTGCGATGCATTTATAAGTGGAGTGCCGGTAGTGTGGTGGTTAACGCGTCTGCGTTAGACACTGCGCGTCTGGGAAACCAGAGGTACGGTGCTCGATACCTCGCGGTGCCCGCCCTTCCTGCCAGGGTGAGAGGCAGGCGACGCCATATAGCCTCACCAGCTGCGTGCGTCGTAGAGATCCAATGACACACACACGCACGCACGCACGCACGCACGCACACACGCACGCACGCACGCACGCACGCACGCACGCACGCACGCACGCATGCATGCATGCACGTACGCACGCCCGCACGCACGCAAGCACGCACGCACACACACACACAAACACACACACACACACACACACACACACACACACACACACACACACACACACACACCACACACACACACACACACACACACACACACACACACACACACACACACACACACACACACACACACACACACACACACACACACACACACAGATACATTTATGAACCTCAATTCATCACAGTCCAGCCTAAACTAAGATTTTGGGCTGAAAGTCTTGGCTGAGGCCGATGTCACGCCAACATCTCCGTCAAGATCGACATGTCGTCCCATAGTTTCGCATTACCACCCACGCATAAAGTTAAGGCATGCCGTTATTTGTGACGTTGACACGAGTGACCTAGGTACAATATAAACAGACCCGAACGTCCAATAAGACCTTCATTGGCTCCAGATCACTTGGAAAAAAGCGGGCAGCTGGTATAGGTCATCGCCAGGGGTAAAGTTTCTTATTCAGTGACGGGGCGGGGGAACACAAGGCACTCCCACACCTTTGAGAACAGAGTTGTTCACATCCGGAGAGAAAGCCGTTTGGCGGCGTATTTGGGGCACGCTTCACCATTTTTCACGGTTCGGCCCATTCCCCCCCCCCCCCCAAATATGTTGTCAAACTACACATCTAGCCATAACTATCGTGTCAGTTTTCTGTATGTGAGAAGCGAAATCCGACACAAAGAAGAACTGTGCATCCGACAACCCAGTGTCGTAGAGAAGCCGATCCAAAACAGCTCGACTGAGACAACAACGTGCAACCGTATTGGTACATATCACTTTTGGTGCACAGGTGGCCAAAGGCTGTCGAGCACAAAACTTGAATCGGCTTATGTAGCACGTGCCGAAGAGAGTTTACGGAATTTCGAGGAAGCGACCAGACATGAAATCTGGTACAAATGCTCCTCAAATAATCAGAATATAAGACTATTTGAAGCTCACGCCACGAAATTATACATGTTAACGTTCATTGAATAAAAATATGCATCGCGTAATGTAGACATTTTTGTTTGCACATTCCAAATACAATTTTGCCAAAAAATGATGTTTAAAAAATCGTGTGTTATTGCCACGTAACGTCCTTTTCTACACAGCAAAAACAACACATAGTTATCAGATCCAAAGTCGGTTATATACGACAGTCGTTAAAAGAGGACAGTGCAATCCAAACCGTAAGTCCTCATAAACCTGTCAGTGACATTGTGTAGTAATGAGTGCGGTCAATAGGCCAATGCTCAGTGTGACGTTTCATCGCCTGTTTCGTGCGTAAAATAAGCCAAATGGTCCAAGCAACATAGTAAACCTAACACAAGGCATGGCAACCAAGTATGCAATTCGCCTTTGGCGGCCTCAATGCCGTCAATTTGCGTTCAGAATGGGTGTTGGATTGCTTAGAAAATCCTGTCGCCGAGGGGCACCATACACGGGTGGTTTTTCATGATCCGCGAAGAAGAAAGCTTCAAAAATATCATGTTTTACACAGCAACTGGCAAACCTTCGTGCAAACGACTCATGGTTGAGGGCGTGTCCTGGAGAAGCCTTTGAGAGGCTGGGACCACCGTGAGCTGTGTAGTACCGTTCTGCGGCGGGCCGCGCGGCCGGACCGAGTTCGCGCTGGCCATCGCGGCGAGGGGCGGGATGGGATGGAGTCGGTCGGTGGACCCCTGCTCACTCTGTGGAGACGAGGCCGGCCGTGGCGGCCGACAACTCGGCAGCGGCCGGGATGCACGTGATGCCGAGCAGCAGCAGCAAGCCGTAGACCAGCAGGAACGGCTTGCGGCGGCCCAGCCGGCTGCTGCAGCGGTCCGTCCATTGACCCAGCAACGGGATCGCCAGCAGCGCCAGGAACGGCCCTGCAGCGGCGAATCAGCGAGATAGTCTCCGGGTGCACGAACGCGTAGGCGGTAAGTGCTCTTTCTGCTTCCTCGTTCCGTACAGCAAATGGGAAGAAATTACTAGTCCATAGTGGCTGGGCTAAAATCACACCAGTAAATCTGCATGGAGAGCCGGCCTTCGAAGACACCTTGCTGGACGAATTGAAGCTATCGGAGTCGATATCAACTGATGTTGCCCGTGACCGACACGCAAGGTCGTCCGGCAAACAGAACGTAAATTCCGTGCTCGAAACCCAAAATAATACTAGACCAAAGCCTAACCAGACCCAACTGGACCAAACTCCGAGGGGAGGACATGGGGCTAGCGCATCCGTCTCGGTTCCACGAAAGAAGAGCACACAATGCACTTCCGCGTGCAGGAAAAGCAAACGTTATTTGTATGCGGGTGGACGCTTTGGTTGCTAAAACATAACCCGTCACACGCTGCAAAACTTTTTCATGTGTGTATTTGGTCTTTGGCTGACCATTTTCCCGCCTTGGTAACCGGCTCCTAGGCGGGCCACCCACCTATGCCCATCGTGATGCTCATGGCCGTCTCGCTGAAGTTCTGACGGCGCAGCAGCGTCGGCGCTATCGTCGTCACCGACGAGAAGCCCAGCTCGCCGCCGCAGGCGGCCATGTTGAGCAGGAACAGCTTGGAGAGCGGCGTGTCGCCGGAGGGGAGGTCAAACATGATCTGACCTGGCTCCGGCCAAGCCCGATCCGGCCGCGACGTTAGGTGTTCAGGGACCCTACCAACACACAAACGGCTGGTCGTTAGCAGCGGACAAACAGCATTAACGGGTAGGTGAACGTGTAACAGGAGCTGATAGAACTGTTTCTTTGATTTTAAAAGCATCCTGGATGGTCATCCACAAGGAATATAGGAGACAATTTTTTCGTCGCGGAGGTCTCTTGGAAATATTTCCAAAAGCTTGTGGACCTCAGATCATCGGAAACAAAACACAAAAGACAAAGGGTGAGATCCCCCGGCGAAGCATAAACAGCCTTCGTCCCAGAAGATGTCTCGACAACATGTATGGCAGATTCCGGATCATAACATGTTACACACGAAAAGTTAGTTTAGGATTTATGAAACAGATCCCGAAACCTTTTAAAACAATCTTTAGCTAACGAGACAGTTCTGCCACATATAAGGGCACTCCAATCCTTTCACAAATCAGGCAGCAAGTACTTCTATTTGCGACAGCCTGAGAAACCTAAACTTGGAGTTTGCTTGAGCAGGGGACCGTTTGAACAGTGTCGCGAAAAACTACCGCGGACCTTTTGTGAATATGACGCCGGACGTCAGGGCAGAAACTTAGCGTGCGGGACAGGCCGCCTTTGTACCACCTCCTTCCGAGTTTGATTTCGGCCTCGTGTGGTCGCCTGAGCCGGTGGTGACGCGTGTCAACGGCGTGCCCCACAGTGCACCACGAGCCAGTTTTACTGACCAGTAGCCTTTCTCACAAAGGCAGTTTTTTGTACATTTGTATTGTAGTTTGTAAATTTGTATGTGTAGTTGTAAAAATGTGTTTCATGAAGGAGAAACCTACAAACAACAACTACAAATTACAAACCTACAAAACCACACACAAAAATTGACAAACTCTTGAGAATTTCTACAACCGGACCTTGGTATGTTTCATAAAGGCCAGCTGATTTTCCAGCCGTGGTGTATTTGTAAGATTAAAAGTACAAATTACAGCTACAAATCAACGACGGCCTACCCCGTTGTAGAATAGGTGATCGTTAGTTTAAGGCAATGCCACTAGCGAAAATGGATTGTGAACGCAAAGCTCGCAGAAGGAGGCTGGCAAGAATCCCCAGGGGCAAAATAAACAAGTACTCGGAGGAAGTGGAAGGACAAACAAACTCGTAGAACGCAATGCTCAGATGAAGTAGCCCAGTGATGGTGTTGATGGATTTGATAATCTCTAACTCCGCGTATGGCCCGTGCAACCAAGCGTGCAGCAAATTTATTCCTTTGCGCTATTACCCATCACTATACATGACCTTGGCGGGCGCATCGACCCGATCGAAATCCTGCGTTGCCTTGTGCTCGCGCGTTTCAGGGGTGGGAGGGTGCTGATGCGAAGGTGGTCATTTTCCGTGAATAGGCCTGTTGGCATGCAAGTCACTGCCGGGATGAAATGGATGTACAAATAGGTTATGAAATGTCTTAATTTTAAGTATAGTTTCTACCCATGCAAGTGAAAACAGACATGCCATCCTATCGAACTGCGGGCATGCGACGCCATTCACGTTGACGCCAACCAGGGACAGCTATCGCCGGGTGTGAACGATGCATGAATCCCATGTCTGTAAGTGGAATATAGGTGTCTATCATGGTAACAGAACACTAGTATTATGCTAGTTCAATGAGTCACCGTTTCGCTGTTGGCCATGACGGTGCCAATTTTCTGTTTGTTTACTTCTGCTTAAAACTGTAAGACGCACGGTGAATATAGTGACAAATGTACTTGATTGCTGGTATTGGGGAACCTAATGATCTGCTCCTTGACACTTCCGATACATTTATTTTGTTTTTGTTTGCAAACCGCGGTATTTACGATTATCGATAGCATAATTTGTTTTCGTGCGCTCGTCGGACATTGGCAACACCAGTAGCCTTTTTCACAAAGAGTTGTTACAAACAGTTTGTATTTGTAAGTTGTAATTTAGAATGTACAAACTACAACTTCCAACTGTTTCATGAAACTAGCGAAGGTTGTAGAATTCTAGTTGTAAAATTCTGCGCCGTGTGTAATTTCTCAACGCCAATCACCGGCCTTGCCAAGGACGTAAAAAAGTACGCCTGACCGTCTTTTTAGCATCCCATACGCCCAACGCTGACGTGACGTCACTGGTGTCTTGCCACAGCGAGAGCAGCGCGCAACCCCGCACGATGCATATTGCGATCTGGATATTTGCGTTTCCGTTGGTTACAGCTGCACTGCATGCCAAATTTGCTGGGAAAACCACCCTTTCTTTCTTCCGTCCCTAAAAATAGGTTGCGTTATCAAACGATTATTTCAGCGTAAATTCGGTAAACCTAACCTAAATTACATCGCCCATACTGAGCGGGACATTGGCGTCAATGCATAGTCAGGCTCACGCAGTCGGGCTCGCCGTTCTCGCTGTCCCCGCTCCTTCCAGCGCCGGTTTCTGTGTCACCCATGTGCACGTGCCCAGGGTCGCACTCAGAATCCTGGTGGAGCACGAGTGGCAGGGCTTTAAGGAAGGCCCCTAGTTAAAGTTCTTAAGTTTTGAGCGCACCTCAAATCTTTCGTCTCTTTCGTTTCTGTTTTTATCCACTTATTCCGACGGGCGTAATCATGAAGGGGCCATGGAATGGGCACTGACACCACATACTTGTTTCGTTTAGGCGGCGTCGTCAGTGAAACACTGGGGGCCACACAATACTTATGGTGCGACATTCTGGTGGCACGGGCGCCGGGCCTCATGATCGATTCAGGAGCCCTCTGAGGAAACACTGGTCCACTTTATGATTCCGGCCGTCCTCCGACGGGAGCAGTTAGTGCGACTCGGAGTAGAGGATTTCAGCGACGCACAATAGTTTCTTGCAGGTACAGGGGAACTACTAAATGACACAGGGATCGCTTTTGATAAAATCAGGCCCCTGGACAAAACGGAGCAAGGTCGTTTGTTGATTAATGGGCCCACTGTCCGACACTTAACCATTAAATTGCGTCAATCAATGCGGGCCCTGTTACCACCCTATTTCCTATCCCCCTTTATTGTCGGGGGACCCAACAATGCAAGAGGCCCGCTGACATTCCAGGTCCCGTCATTGTCCCTTTCTGGCAAACGGGCCCGCTGCCGACTCGGATTCCCTTGCTGACACAGGATCCCTTCTCTGGCACTGTGGCCCCATGATAAAACACAGTGGCTCTTTTTCATCTGTGCTTACCTAGCCTCCGCGCGTACTTGCCGTTAGTTCATACCAACAGCAGGGGCACAATCAATATTTTCTTAAGAGGGTGGGGGCAGGCCGCAGCGATAACGCATCACGACAATTTTAAATTTTCTTCTAAGAGCGCTGTGGTAAATATGAAGCAGACCTGTGGGCAGAATGGAGCGCCCCTTGACTGTGCTCCTCCAAAACAATCAAACTGCAGCGACAGCAGGGTTTGAAGACTATGATCTTGTAGGCAGGAGTCGGTTTGCCCCCTTTGTGAGCTTGCGAGGGCCCTCGTTTGACACCCGTCTACCTTATTTGGTTGCCCCCCCCCCTTCACAATTTTTTTTACCTCAATGCTACAAAATCTCAGGAAAATATAAATATCACAGGGATCTTCTTCAGACATGACCTGCGGTTGATGACCGTTCTACAAAGATAAAGGACTAAATAGGATAAAGGACTCCGTGCCATCAACTTGAAAAACTGCCGTACATCAAAATCGAGTGGCCTAAGAGCCGGCGAGAAATGTATTTAGAGCGAGGTTTATTCATAAATACCGCGGTTTTTCATAGTTTCTCACAAGGGCCTAATGTCGATGAATAATTTGTTGGGGGAGGGGGGGGGAGGGCGGGAAATCGCTCACCCTATCACGAAATATGCATTTCACCTAGGTCCTAGGTCATCCCCAATGATTTAGAAAAGCTGACGCCCCTGCTTGCAGGATAAAAGAAACACTAACCGAACCAGTACGACTTTGCTTGCTACTTCCAATCAAAGCTTTATTAATTGCCTTGCCTCCAATCGCTTTGAATGCTGCATCTACCCTACGTTTCCGCTACGCCACCACGATCGAGACGGCAGCGGCGGGGCCTATGACGTAGGGCACCAGTGACGTCATTGCCCT